ACACTTGGGTAACTTAGATAACTCTATTCTGAGACAACATAACTCTACTCTTCCAAGTCTACAAGGTGCCGACTCCAGGATGAAGACGACCTGCTCCCAGGTGACGACAAAGGCAATTCACCCACAACAACAGCCTCGCGCCCCGGTTTGGGCTGGCTCTTATCCCCCTCACGACCCGGCCATGCCCCTATTCCCGAACCCTCTCTCACCGCACCTGGCCTTATCTGTCTCTGCCTTTATTACAATTTACGACCATCACTGGATTTTTCTGTTGCGCATAGTCACTTTAAGATGTTTCTTGTTCATGTTTATGTTTGTTGTGGTTGCACCCGATTCAAGAGCCGAATGGCTCACAGGGCTATCGCCTTCTTTTCTTTTTCTTTTATATATAAATGTCTCCGCGCGCGCTTGCGAGGGATTTGGCTCTCGAACGGTGGGGTTTATGGCCATAATAATTTGCCAGCCGGCACGCCCTAAGCCCCGCGGTGGGAATAGGCTACTCCTTTTTCACGTCCGTCACCTTTAAATTAAATTAATTAGCGATTTAGTGGGATTTTAATATTTACATCTTTATTGCACGACACCGGCCGTACCAACTCACGCCAATTGAGTGGGGGGGCGGACCCTGCCAAGTGATGTGCGTTCGCTCAAGCTCACTGTACTGTATCCTGCTTTTTTAGCTGCTGCCTCTATTGCCACCTTTTTATGTCCACTGTAGTAATGCGTATGTCATTGAGTCAGCGTACTGGCAGTCTATTATCTAGACTGTAGCCTGCTTCTCAACTTACCTGTGTCTACTGCTTCTACAGTGAGGGAAAAAAGTATTTGATCCCCTGCTGATTTTGTACGTTTGCCCACTGACAAAGAAATGATCAGTCTATAATTTAATGGTAGGTTTATTTGAACAGTGAGAGACAGAATAACAACAACAAAATCCAGAAAAACGCATATAAAAAATGTTATAAATTGATTTGCATTTTAATGAGGGAAATAAGTATTTGACCCCCTCTCAATCAGATAGATTTCTGGCTCCCAGGTGTTTTTATACAGGTAACGAGCTGAGATTAGGAGCACACTCTTAAAGGGAGTGCTCCTAATCTCAGCTTGTTACCTGTATAAAAGACAACTGTCCACATAAGCAATCAATCAGATTCCAAACTCTCCACCATGGCCAAGACGAAAAAGCTCTCCAAGGATGTCAGGGACAAGATTGTAGACCTACACAAGGCTGGAATGGGCTACAAGACCATTGCCAAGCAGCTCGGTGAGAAAGTGACAACAATTGGTGCGATTATTCGCAAATGGAAGAAACACAAAAGAACTATCAATCTCCCTCGGCCTGGGGCTGCATGCAAGATCTCACCTCGTGGAGTTGCAATGATCATGAGAACGGTGAGGAATCAGCCCAGAACTACACGGGAGGATCTTGTCAATGGTCTCAAGGCAGCTGGGACCATAGTCACCAAGAAAACAATTGGTAACACACTATGCTGTGAAGGACTGAAATCCTGCAGCGCCCACAAGCGCCCACTGCTCAAGAAAGCACATATACATGCCCGTCTAAAGTTTGCCAATGAACATCTGAATGATTCAGAGGACAACTGGGTGAAAGTGTTGTGGTCAGATGAGACCAAAATGGAGCTCTTTGGCATCAACTCAACTCGCCATGTTTGGAGGAGGAGGAATGCTGCCTATGACCCCAAAAACACCATCCCCACTGTCAAACATGGAGGTGGAAACATGCTTTGGGGGTGTTTTTCTGCTAAGGGGACAGGACAACTTCACCGCATCAAAGAGATGCTGGACGGGGCCATGTCCCGTCAAATCTTGGGTGAGAACCTCCTTCCCTCAGCCAGGGCATTGAAAATGGGTCGTGGATGGGTATTCCAGCATGACAATGACCCAAAACACACGGCCAAGGCAACAAAGGAGTGGCTTAAGAAGAAGCACATTAAGGTCCTGGAGTGGCCTAGCCAGTCTCCAGACCTTAATCCCATAGAAAATCTGTGGAGGGAGCTGAAGGTTCGAGTTGCCAAACGTCAGCCTCGAAACCTTAATGACTTGGAGAAGATCTGCAAAGAGGAGTGGGACAAAATCCCTCCTGAGATGTGTGCAAACCTGGTGGCCAACTACAAGAAAGTCCGACCTCTGTGATTGCAAACAAGGGTTTTGCCACCAAGTACTAAGTCATGTTTTGCAGAGGGGTCAAATACTTATTTCCCTCATTAAAATGCAAATCAATTTATAACATTTTTGACATGCGTCTTTCTGGATTTTTGTTTTATTGTTATTCTGTCTCTCACTGTTCAAATAAACCCACCATTAAAATTATAGACTGATCATTTCTTTGTCAGTGGGCAAACGTACAAAATCAGCAGGGGATCAAATACTTTTTTCCCTCACTGTAACTAACGCCATTGTTAAAAGCTTAGCGAGGTTTCAGCCACAAAAGTTCTGCTGTTGAAATATTAAATGTAACACTCAGCACACACGGTGAACCACGCAGGTGCCTGGCCTTTGTGTTGTTTGAAGGGTAGATGTTAGTGTGTGGAGGGAGCAGTAAGGGCCATGCCAAACAGCTGGTTCACATATCGCTCGCCACTTGTTAGCGGCGGTGCGGAATCGAACCAGGATTTCTGGAGGGATGCGAGATGGAGCGCGACTTCCTGTCCTCAATGTTTGCAAATATTTAGGAATGCCACCTACCTCTCCCCGGACCCACACATTACAGTGCCACCACGAGGCCCCTCACCCCCTATACCACGAAACACGCAGGCACAGCACAGCTGGTAGACAAACAGCTGCGGGCTGTCGTGTGCCCCATGCCACCATTGGATGCATTCAATACATCAGTCTCTGCTCGCAAAGAGAACATTTTGCTCGTTTTGCAAACAAATTGATCTAAATCAAATTGCTTGTCATAGCGAATTCTTGTAGACACGCCTGGTATACTTTAAATGCAAAAATGTATCAAATAGAGAAAAAATACAGTGAACATACTTTAGAATGTTACGTAATATAACATGTGTAGTGATATCGGGGATGTCACTGTATGGTGCCGGCCCGGGAGGGTCGTGGCGTGCGATGTACTTACGTCGCGGACAGCACTGGGTGGGTTGCTGTGTGATGCTGGCTTTAGCATAGCACGGCGTGCGATGCACCGTCATCGCGTACACCTCGTAGATGGTAGTACCAGCCCTAGCGGGGCTTGGTGAGCGCCGGGATAGCACGGGCACCACGTATAGCGTGCAGTGCGGGCTCCCACAAGGGGGAGCGGGAGAGTGTCAGCCCAGGGACAGGGTTGCCCCGGGTCATAGCACTCTGGTTGACCCCAAAGACACGTGATCTGGAGTGTCCACAGAGAAGGCCCCAGGTGGGGGGCTAGGGGGTAATCACGTGTCCAGGGAGAGCTCTTGAGAGGGATCGAGAGGGAGCTAGAATGCTCGCGAAGGTGGGCGGGGCTGAGGGCGGAGCCGGCCCTGATCTGGGAGGATATAAGGTGGGTCCTTGAGAGGGACTGGGGTCACTCCGTTCTACAAGCTGGAAGCTCTTCGTCCTACGTCTGAAGAGGCATCAACACGTGGCCGGGGACCCGAGTAAGAGTCCGACTCTTTGTAGCTGTAAGTATAGTGTAGTTAGGTGGGTGGTCACCACCCCAGGCTGTATCTGGTAAATGGGCAGTTACCCCTTTGTATATGCGTGTTACAATAAATGTGTTGCCTCTGAATAACGTCTGCGACTCAGTTGGACTCACTACACATGTTTAATAAAATGCAAAATAATTAAATTGTGTATGAAGAGTAAAATATGTGGTTAACCGGTATAAAATGTAGTTAGGGCAATTCGTTAGTGGTGGGGGGATGGCAGCTGTTAATGTTGCAGAGACCTCCACACTTGTGGTAGTTTACATGATTATTGTATAGCCTAAACAGCCGTTATACCACATAAACATTTGGAAATGCCTTTGGTAAACTGTCTTCAGGGGCGTTTGAGGTTCCTGACAGATTTAGTAGAGTTGACATGAACATGGTCAAACTTTTACAAACTTTTTCTGATATCACCACCCCAACTTTTCTACGCTAAAGTGGCCTAAAGTATTGCACGCTTTATGTGTAGTCTACATGATTTGGATGTAATGGAATACATTTGTGATGCAAGCTGTAAAATGTAAGATTACACCAACACAGGAATCCGGCCTTGCGTCTCCATTGCATTACTTTAATTTTATATTGTGTCGTCTGGGATGTCAATTCATACAACGTAGAACGGAGCTTCATATAGTTATGATTTGTTGATTGACCATGCTAATCACGTACATTTATGTCACACTTATACATGTGACAGTTCATTTGTTTGGCTCTGTCGGGTTGTGGAGGGTTTTTAATGGCACAAATTTAGTCAGATATGTGGCCTCAAAACAATGTTAAGTATGAATCAAATTTTCACGTCTGTAGCAATGTTAAAACTATAATATGAGTGTCTAAATGCAACTGCATCTCAAGACGCTCTACACAACAGAGGGACGCCCACTGCAGGGGGAAAATGGAGGCGTATACATTTCCTGTTATTGGAGAATAATTCCTTGAATCTGGAATTGAGCAGGGACAGGAAAGTCCGGCAAAGGTGTCTGAGGAAAGGAGGTACCAGACCTCGGGGGTAGGAGAGGAGAGAGACTGACCTCCCCTTAAGTCAAGATTCACTGGGGCCTGTGGTCTAAAGGCCTCTGGAGCCTGCACGCGGAGGGGAGTCGAATGAAATGAGGAGCGCATACTTTTCATCTTATGTTGACATCATCTATACATCATTTACATTTTGTTGTAAAGCTGACGTTCATTGAGGCATTGTCGTTTATTAAAATTGTGTATTCATAATGCATTTGTCTTGGCTAAACTGATGCAGACACCGTAACTCGTGTTCACTTAGATATTACATTTGGCCAAAGACACGAAACGATAGAGCAGTGATGAGTACTTGTGTATTAACATAGTCTGTTGTGCCAGGGACTTGTGGGCGAGCCGGGAATTCCAGGGGAGAAAGGAAGCGCAGGAACGGCGGGGATGACGGTAATCACTTACATCTTGCAAATCCGTGCCTGTTCGGACGCTTTTGCTTGGTTTTTTGTGTGCGAATAAACAATACAATGCAACAGCTTGGATTTCATATACGCATTGATCATTGTTTTCATGCAATGAAAATAATATGCCAAGAGTGTTTTATATGGTACATTCATAACTCGTTTGACGTATTCTGTAAATAACCCTTTGTGCTGCAGGGGGAGCGAGGCTCTAACAGCACCGTGCCAGGCGTGAAAGGGGAGAGAGGCCACCCAGGAAATATGGTGAGCCCCGATTTCATGTATACATGTCTGTACAAATTACATTGTACTTCTGATGATTCGAACGAAAACATACCTTTGATTATTTGAATCAAAACATACCACTGATTATTCGAACCAAAGCATATCACTGCCTGAGTGAGTAAAACAAGTGACACGTTAATGAAATATAGTGATGAACCACACAAGAATACATTTTTCAATTTGTCCATGGATATAATAATGAATGATTATATATAGCATAAATAAAACGTTTACGGAGTGTGTAACATACACAGCTTTTGCACAGTGAGGGAAAAACAGTATTTGATCCCCTGCTGATTTTGTACGTTTGCCCACTGACAAAGAAATGATCAGTCTATAATTTTAATGGTAGGTTTATTTGAACAGTGAGAGACAGAATAACAACAAAAAATCCAGAAAAAACGCATGTCAAAATGTTATAAATTGATTTGCATTTTAATGATGGAAATAAGTATTTGACCCCCTCTCAATCAGACAGATTTCTGGCTCCCAGGTGTCTTTTATACAGGTAACGAGCTGAGATTAGGAGCACACTCTTAAAGGGAGTGCTCCTAATCTCAGCTTGTTACTTGTATAAAAGACAACTGTCCACAGAAGCAATCAATCAATCAGATTCCAAACTCTCCACCATGGCCAAGACCAAAGAGCTCTCCAAGGATGTCAGGGACAAGATTGTAGACCTACACAAGGCTGGAATGGGCTACAAGACTATTGCCAAGCAGCTTGGTGAGAAGCTGACAACAGTTGGTGCGATTATTTGCAAATGGAAGAAACACAAAAGAACTGTCAATCTCCCTTGGCCTGGGGCTCCATGCAAGATCTCACCTCGTGGAGTTGCAATGATCATGAGAACGGTGAGGAATCAGCCCAGAACTACACGGGAGGATCTTGTCAATGATCTCAATGCAGCTGGGACCATAGTCACCAAGAAAACAATTTGTAACACACTACGCCGTGAAATACTGAAATCCTGCAGCTCCCACAAGGTCCCCTTGCTCAAGAAAGCACATATACATGCCCGTCTGAAGTTTGCCAATGAACATCTGAATGATTCAGAGGACAACTGGGTGAAAGTGTTGTGGTCATATGAGACCAAAATGGAGCTCTTTGTCATCAACTCAACTCGCCGTGTTTGGAGGTGGAGGAATGCTGCCTATGACCCCAAGAACACCATCCCTACCGTCAAACATGGAGGTGGAAACATTACGCTTTGGGGGTGTTTTTCTGCTAAGGGGATAGGACAACTTCACCGCATCAAAGGGATGACGGACGGGGCCATGTACCGTCAAATCTTGGGTGAGAACCTCCTTCCCTCAGCCAGGGCATTGAAAATGGGTCGTGGATGGGTATTCCAGCTTGACCATGACCCAAAACACACGGCCAAAGCAACAAAGGAGTGGCTCAAGAAAAAACACATTAAGGTCCTGGAGTGGCCTAGCCAGTCTCCAGACCTTAATCCCATAGAAAATCTGTGGAGGGAGCTGAAGGTTCGAGTTGCCAAACGTCAGCCTCGAAACCTTAATGATTTGGAGAAGATCTGCAAAGAGGAGTGGGACAAAATCCCTCCTGAGATGTGTGCAAACCTGGTGGCCAACTACAAGAAACGTCTGACCTCTGTGATTGCCAACAAGGTTTTTGTTACCAAGTACTAAGTCATGTTTTGCAGAGGGGTCAAATACTTATTTCCCTCATTAAAATGCAAATCAATTTATAACATTTTTGATATGCATTTTTCCGGATTTTGTTGTTGTTATTCTGTCTCTCACTGTTCAAATAAACCTGCCATTAAAATTATAGACTGATAATTTCTTTGTCAGTGGGCAAACGTACAAAATCAACAGGGGATCAAATACTGTTTTCCCTCACTGTAGGTGTGGGAAACCACTACCAGAGCAAGTGAAAGCAATTGTCCAAGATCTGTGGCCTTTCGATTTAAAGTTTTCGTGACTACAAGGATTCATCTTCTTTGGTTGTTTCGGTAAAGTCACGTGGAATGAGAATAAAATAATAAAATAAAACAATAAAATTCTCACGACGTTTCGGCCACAACACAAGTGGCCTTCTTCAGGTGAAAGGAACAAACCTGTCGGGACGACAGAGCTCTGTCGCTGAGGTGATATTATTTTGGAATGTTTGGCCAACTCCATTAATGAGTGATTATACACATGGGAGGAAACCGGAGTACCAGGACATTTATAATTCATCTCCGTACAGATGGAATACAGATGGAAATGAATCCACTTGCTGTACTACCTTAGCCTCGAATTTGTGTGATGCAAATTTGCCATTCAGTTAAACAAAATTAAATTGTTACCATAAATTGACACTATTGAATTGTGAACGTGAATCATTACACCACAAATGATAGTTATAGATAAAATAACACGTGATTGTACTTGCACATTATTTGGAGCGAGTGTGTTTGTGGCAACATCTCTGACGCTTCGTTTGTACTCTTAGGGCCTGCCTGGGACCGATGGGCTGCCTGCTGACCCTGGGCCACCGGGGCCTGACGTGAGTCACTCCGTTTGTGTGCATCACAACACAAAAGTCGCTTCAATATCACCTCAGTGCCGTCATTGTCCATTCAGGTGTAAAATATGTGACAGACAGAATCAGAGCATGGACGTGTGCTTAATTCATAATAAAGGTTTTTCGGTTAGATCGGATAAATATAAATGTGTCGCTAACCCACCACCACCCGGCATGACTAATCATTAAGGTGTGTAACTTGAACATAAGGTGCCAATTAGCTATTGCTTTAGCAAATTGGTGTGATGGCAAGTAAACGCACAACATTTACAATTGAGTATGCCATTTTGCTGGTGATTGCAACCAGCCGGCAAATCGCCTGATGAAGCAGCGAAACGTCGTAGTCATGGCATATTAATGTAATATACATTAACGTTGAATAAAATCGTCGAGTAAAATGTCACGTATTGTTGATGTCTGTCCACGAAGGTCAGTGGAGGTCTCTGATAGCTGCACGTGGCCACTGAAAATACAGTCTCATGGCTTGGCGATTTCTGTACATTTCGTCTGACGATACCATAGGCCGAAGGCTTAACTGTAAGGAAATTATTTTCCTGTTTGTTTGCTTAACCTACAGTCCTTATACAAATATAGTATATATAAACAATAACAAAGGACCTGAAGTTCAACAATAAGCATCTTTTCGTTAGTGTATGAGTGGGACCGGATCTAGGATGTTTGAATCCACGTGTGTATTTGGATTCTGAAAACCTAGCTGTAGATATTTATAGCAATGAAGTGTATTTGAAAACCCTGGACTGAATGAGGATAGAAACTCTAATGCACCCTTCGTTTCATTACTATTCACACATAGTGCCTTTTATCCTTGATTTCTCAGCCCCCTGTAACATATGTGTAGTGGAGTAGAAAGGTGCGTATTGCATGGAAACAGAGACAGTGCGGTTCATGTTGGGTCAGCCTGTAACGAAGGCAAATACAGTGCAGGTTATGTTGGGGCAATTAAGCTGGGAGAGCCAAGGACGGCTGTGATTGTTTGGTAATGTTGCCGGGGCCGGAGAGGCGTCGGGAAGTCTGGCGAGAAGCAGGTGTACGATCACGCGGAGTGCCGTTGGGACGCGGACTAATTAAATGGGGCGTAATGAGAGCGGGGATAAATTGGGGGGTCGGCAATTGGAGCTAGGAGTTGGAGTTTGGAGAGCTTGGAGTCAACAGCGGGAATTGAAGTGTGGAGAGTTTGAGAGACAGAGTTGGAAGACAGAGTTTTTTGAGACAGAGTTTTTTGAGACAGAGTTTTAGAGACAGAGTTTGAGAGACAGAGTTTGAGAGACAGAGTTTGAGAGACAGAGTTTGAGAGACAGAGTTTGAGAGACAGAGTTTGAGAGACAGAGTTTGAGAGACAGAGTTTGGAAGACAGAGTGGAAGGGAGACGGAGTTGGAGACGGAGCTTGGAGCAAAGACGAAGTAGTTAGCGGTGGAGAGAGCGTAGCGATAGCGGAGCTGGAGACGAGAACAGCCAGCAGTGGAGAGAGCACAGTGACGGTGATAGCGGTGAACAGGGATGAAGCAGTAGCAGTGCATTGCGCATAGTGATGGTGATAGCGGTGAACAGAGTTGAAGCAGTTAGCAGTGGAGAGAACATAGCGACGGTGATAGCGGAGAGCGGAGACGAAGAATTTAGCGGCGGAGTAAGCGAAGTAATAGTGGGGAGTGGAGAGACAAAGGTGGCGAGCGAGCCGAGTGAAGCACGGCGAGCGAGCCGTGGCGACCAGGATACCGTGGAATGTGGAGGACATGCTGAGAGTTGTAAATAAAGCGGTGTTCAAAGACAGAAGTTGTCCGAGTGAAATCGAACACTACATATGTGTTGGAAAGGGGCCGCTTTTGTGATGTTTTGGCCAAAATATGTGAGTGTCTTTGGAGTGAATCCATTACCGCAGTGACTCAGATTGCCAAGGGGGGTGCGTCTCAGCTGTTTAAATAATTCGTGAATCTGGCCCTTGTCCGTGTATATCTTTATTTAGAAATGTATTGAAGAATTACTTGTTGGTCAAGCAACAGTTAAACATAATTGCACCAATGTATTGAAGAATTACTTGTTGGTCAAGCAACAGTTAAACATAATTGCACCAAACAATTTAGGAAGATGCAAATACTTTGAAGGTAATGTATGCTCCTCATGAATAGTGTACTGTTAAGAGACTAGAGATGACACACGGGTGTATATTATCAAGCTATTTTTTTTATATCGCAATAGAAATGTGGTAGCATGCAGTGCGTCAATATCTATGGATAAGTGCGCTGCCATTTTGCAGTTGCGTTGTCGTGCTGTGTTTGGTCTGTTTGATTTGTTCTGAAAAGTGATAGACGTTGGTGTCTTTTGAAAGTGTATAACTCCACCTGCATTTCCTTCTGGTTCCCATGTAGGGTGCAAAGGGCTGGCGGGGACCGTCTGGACTCAAAGTGCGTTTGGGTTTAAGACATCCACTGTACTGCCGTGTAAACAGGAACGTTCACAACTAATGTGTTCGGCGATCAGTTTGTGCTCGGTGCACGTGACACATGGGTGTGCATCCCCACATCCTCGTAAGAAGAAGCCTTCACACAAAACTTGCACAAGATGATGACACGGCCCAGCGATGGCGCGCTCGCTGCTCATTGCAGGGGTTCGCAGATTCGAATCCAGTAGACCGCCCCTGGTTATTAATGTGGTGGTGTGTATTGTCCATTCAATACTGATTCTCAGCAGATGTTAAAGACCCTTTGACATCATTGGAACCCCCCCCCCCCCCCTTGCTTTACAATCAGTTATACAATTTATTTACAGATGAATCAAATTGTACAGAATCCATAATATCCCGGCAGACGATAAAATTTGATGAGGATCACATTACGTTACACATCAATGCCATTCTAAGATAATTTTATTTGCCTTGATATAGTCTAATGAAACCAATCCACTCATGAATGTAACACATCTTACAGCATAAGTTGTGGTATATCGTGCAGTACAGCTAGAGGAATAACCCTATCTCCCATTAAACATTTGACACCAATAATGGATTTGTAGACATCTTGAATGAATTTAAGTAAAATTTGACCCGTGCTACAGTAACTCAATTATGCCTTCCGTTATGTCCTACGAATCTTGCGCGTGTACAAATCTAATACAACCAATATTAATTTAGAGTACCTTTGCTCAAGGTGCTTGACGGGGGCTTACAAAAGATTCGGTGCGGTTATGATTTCGCTTTCTAATTGTGTGGGCGCAGGGTGAGAAGGGTGCTCCGGGAGGAGGCGGAACCAGAGGACTCGCGGGCTATCCTGGAAGTGCAGTAAGAGGCACACTCATGGGAATTCGTACTGCAGTAACGGTGGTAAACAAAACGTTCCCAGCGTACTACCCGAAACATTTGTACATTTTACAGCAGGTAATTGCAGAGGTTTCCGTATATCTGTCGGGATAATTCAGTTGCTGCACTGCCAATCGTGTGGTGTACAATGGTACCAATGTGCGCCACGCGTATAAATGTGTGTATTACCTCATTGAGATGTTACAGGTTTCAATGCGGTGGTAGAAGATGCGTTCCAAAAAAATAGGATCAAAGCGAAACCGCATGAGGAGACAGCTGCCTGCCAAGTGGCGCTTACAGTACACATAGTAGACACAGTACACACACAGTACACATACAGTACACGCAGAGCACACACAGTACACACACAGTACACATGCACAATGTTGTTCCTCGTCCCACCACATAGCCGCATGTAGAGTGAATTCAAACCGCATGGTAGAACACATTTTTGGGGTAAAAATAGGTGAGCCACATGTACAGCGCGAACCCGCATAGAACAGGGAAAATACAAGGGCTCCTTCTAAAGGGGGCCCAGGACAATGAATTCCTCTTAGAGGCCATGGTCACCTCTACCTGTAGCTCTGTGTGCTGCACCAGTATATGTTTGCCTTGCCGTGATTGTTAAACGACCATGTATGCCTTACCAGAATGTGTGTGTGCTTCTGTGTCTACGCACGTCACATAACGAATTGCTAGACAGCTGACAGGGCAGTGAGAGGCGTACAATGGGCCATGTTCCAGGTTTCTCAGGGTCCCAACTGCATGTGTAGGTATTCATACACGTTTAAGTGTGCACATTCTCTGTCTAAACACACGGTAATGTTGTGCACAGACTCGCAACATGTATACTTGCGCCCAATCCATATCCTATACTGGAAGTTGAACTTATTTCACAGCGTACGTAGCCAACCGTGCTAACCGGAGGTGCAACAAGTGTGCCTTACACTCTCGTTTTATTCCAGGCCTTCCCTCCTTGCACGCGTGATTAAACCTTAACTCGTACGGGGCTAATGGATCTGGCCTTTTTGTCACAACCATGGAAGCTGTGCACACAGTGAAGCTGATCGCGTGAATTGTCATTACCCTTACATGTAAATGCCCATTATTGCCACAATGTCAGCATTCATGCCTGTGTCAGTTCAGTTTTGCCTTCGGTGATGTCGGTGACTTGGTGAATGTATTTTATTCTAAGACACTTGAGATTAAAAAGCACAATAAGTATTACACAACAACTGACAATAGGGTTTACAATTCAGGCTGTGCAATATAGTTTGCATTTCAATAGAAAGTTTGTTTTTATTATGTATGTTTATGTCAAATAAAATCATGCATATGTTGTAGTTCAGATTTCAATGTTGTATGTATGTGGAACTTCTTTAGCACCGTACGTAGTCAACCATGCTAATCGGAGATGGGGGGGAAGGACAACAAACTAAACACAACAAAGCAGTTCCCAAGAAATTAGTTTTCAATATACATTTAAAAGTGCATAGCTGCCATGGCTTGCAAATAAAGATTGTATTTAAAGTCTGTAAACGAGTGTCTGAAGTCTGTAAATGTCTGCTTGAACTTCAGGGTAACAGAGGAAGCCCGGGTGCCCAAGGCAGCAGAGGACTAAGTGGTATGCGTGGCTGCCATGTGAGTACGCATTTTTATTCTTTGGGTCTTTTGGTAAAGTCACGTAGATAGGTTCAAAGAAAATGACAAAAAACTATGACGTTTCCATCGCAACACAAGCGGTCATCATCAGGAAAAGGGGGTTAGCCTCATTCCTTCACTCATGGCCACCTTTACAGTGGTGATTCATAGTCATGTAAACAAAACATACATTTAACTGCTATCGGTCAAAGGCATCCCAATGATGAAAAAATGACTGAAAATTACTAAATTGGAATTACACACAGCATTAATATCACCTCCGACTGTGAAACTTGTTGGTGAGATGTTAACTCCTTTGCATTGTATACAGGAGGCCATGGGTTCTATTCTAGCCCTGTATATTTGGAGTTTGTGTGTTCTCTCTCCCCGTGGTCGTTTGGATGTTTCTCCAAGTCCTCCGGTTTTTCTCTCCACATTTGGCTGCTATGAATTTCCGCATGATAAGCCACTTCGTTGACCTATCATTTGTGGCCAGGTCGCTTCTAAGAACTACACATCGCAGTGGGCCTTACCTGCTAAAATAAATAAATAGTTTTTGTTTTGTTTAATAGGTCCCTTCTAAAAAAGAGATTCCGTGAAGCGTCCATCGGTAAACAATCGTAATAAACGAACATATATAAAATGTACTCTTTGGTTCTTTAGGTAAAGTCACGTAGGTAGAAAAATAAAATAAAAATAATATATCACGACATTTCGATCGCAACACAAGCGGTCGTCCTCAAGCGGAAATAAATAAGCCAGCAGTGGAACTGCTGAACCAGGAAGAACACAGCGAGAGAGTCGAAGGGCAAGCAGGTGGGGTCTGAGCTGGAAAGGAATTCCATCCCCGCACGCAAGCACGTCAGTTGTGTTAATGGGGGAGATTAGGGAGAGAGATTAGCACGAAATGAGCTTCCGTCGCCGCATAAGAGTATCGTCCCCGCATATGCGCACAACAGCAGTGTTAATGAGAGATAAGCATTATGTTCTTGGGATCGATTAGGCAGAGAAATTAGGGGGATTAGCAAGTTAATGTCATGTCTATGTGTACTTGCGTGCGGGGATGGAATTCCTTTCCAGCTCAGACCCCGCCTGCTTGCCCTTTGCCACATATAACCTCTTGTTGTAACAGCTCTCTCGCTGTGTTCTTCCTGGTTCAGCAGTTCCACTGCTGGATTATTTTTTTCTGCCGGAGGACGACCGCTTGTGTTGCGATCGAAACGTCGTGATATATTATTTTTTAAATTTAATTAAAATGTTCTACCTACGTGACTTTACCTAAAGAACCAAACAGTACATTTTATATATGTTCATTTATTACGATTGTTTACCCATGGAAGCTTCCAATGTGGTGGACGAGGACCCCTCTACTGATCAGAGTGAAGGCCAGCATGCTGCGGCCAAAGTTGGCCCTGTGTTCAACAACACTGAAGAGAAAGGAGAAGCATTACAGAGGCTGGAAAAGCACAGAAACACGGGCTGTGGGGTTAGGGTTGGAGTCACTGAGAGGCTAGTGTTAGGGGCCGGTTGACTTGTCTGTTTGGCTTACAGGTGGAGCTTTCTGACCCGTCCTGCCTGCACTCCTGTGAAAAAAGAGCCTCATAGCTCAAAGGATTTCTACGGGATAAATAAAGATTCTGATTTCTGAAAGATTCTGATAATGTTTGGTTGTCTAATGTTCGATGCCACAAACTGCCTGCACCCCCTCGTCAGTCCTCCATAGTTCCCACAACCCATTGCTACGTAAGGGCTCTTATGTGGATATTGAGGGCTTCTTACGTTTATTTTGAGGGCTTCCATGGGTCTGCTGTTAGAATCAGAATCTTTATTTAGACTGGAGGAGGAATCCGATGAGCTATAAAGCTCTTTTTCACAGATGTCCCGTATGGGCAGGTCAGAAATGTATAACAGCAAACAGTACAAAAAACCGATAGGAGTGCAAAATAGAGAAAAAGGGAAGCAAGTCACTAAATAAAATAAATAAAGAATACACAAATGTATTAATAAGTCTGATTTATCACGCTTGGGCAAGGTATCAAGAACAATAAAATAGTCCCAGACCACACCAAGGTAACACCACACAGCAGTTAACTTTAATATTTAACTATGATACTACAGGGAAGGATAAAAGTTACAAATCACATGTGCAAATGTGACTGCATCCAGCACTATTCTGATACTATTTTTTGAGGCCACCCAGTGACAACTGCTGGCTGAGGCTCTCCTGAGAGGTCATCAACTCTGCCCTGCACCAGGGACCCCCTCTACTGCCGTAATCCATCACTGCACAAATGGCAACATTTAAGACCGAAGCAGGAGGATTTTTCCACAACTCTGGCTGTCCGCCTGATGATGCTAGTCGTAATTACTGGCGAAACGTTGTACTCGAATTGTAAATTTTTTGGGTTTACTCTCCAACACACCGGTTCGCTGTACTAGTAACGAATTGGCATTTTTTGTTTACGTGACAAACCTTATTAATTGGCTTTGTCGGGTGGTGGCGAATTTAACGACACATTTATATTTACGTGATCTAATCCTAAAACTTATATTATGGAAAAATAGTGGTTGATGAAGCACAAATGAAGCGTTCTTTAATTTAATTCTGGCAAAAGCATTCTGCGTTGAATATGATCATCCGGTAGTATTTCACTAAGACGTCATGATAAATATTTAAATTTAAAGCTTTCGTGACTGCAGGGATTCATATTCTTGGTTCTTTCAGTAAAGTCACGTAGAAGGGAAACAATAAAATAAAAATATAAAAAAAATTATCACGACGTTATGACTGCAACACAAGCAATCATCATCAGGTGTGAAAACCACAGCAAGAAAATTTGAAAAAAGTGGCGTTTTTTTTAACATTAGCACCACGGAGAGCGATTTGGCAGTTATTCAGATGGACGAGTCCATCTATGTTCGAAACGAACGAATCTCTCATGGTAGCCAGATGGCTTCAGAGACAGAGGCTATCCACATATACAAACACAGAGACAATTTCAACCGAGAAGATGGATTCTGGCTTAGAAATCATTGGAAGGATTTGATAAACCATTTCGGGTCTTAATTGATTGTTCACGCTTACGGTGGCTTTCAGACCGCATCCATTCTTTTCATCTCCCCCCTCTTCTTTTCCGAACATAGATGGACTCGTTCATCTGAATAACTGCCAAATCGCTCTCTGTGGTGCTAACGTAAAAAAACGCCACTTTTTTCAAGTGTTCTTGCTGTGGTTTTCACACCTGATGATTGCTTGTGTTGCAGTCGAGACATCGTGAGAATGTTATTGTTTTATATTTTCATTATTTTATTGTTTCCCTTCTATGTGACTTTACCGAAAGAACCAAGAAAATGATAAATATTGTTTTTAAAATGTTGCTCCAATTCATTAAGCACCTTGATACGTGGTTGTATTTTGACAATTCACACTTTACAATTGTATTGCTTTGTGTGCTGTTTGCTGACATAGATGCTTATTGTATTGGTAATAATTATTGTACAAATTACAAAAAGACTCAAAACATGACAAGTGATGCCTGTAACTCAGCATTTGAGAGGAAAAGGTGGATTCATCTAATTCTTGCTTTTGAAAAATCCCCGAACCAACTGATTTGCAAAGTGGCCAGGCGATGGAAGTACAACAAGTGCATTTGTTAACCATTTGTTGTTATTCCATCATGTACTGTACATGGGTTTCTCTGAATATTCTGGTTTATTTCCATAAGGAATAAAAAAAAACAGAACAGGCAAAAATCCCTATGCAGAACTGTTTTTTTTTTTTGGGGGGGGGGACGTCTTCTGACCCTTGATGCTTTCCTGAGTAAACACATGAAAACATCCTTGTTGTTACAAAACAGAATTCTCTTCCCTGACATTTTAGGGTGATCCTGGACAACAAGGCCCAATTGGTAATCCTGGTGAGCCTGGTGGTCGAGGAACCAAGGTATGTGGCACACTAGACTATCACTTGCAGCGTTAAGGCCTGTATCTTAATTTGGACCAGTTACAAGTAACCTGCATATGTATTTTCAATGCCTGATAAATATAAATACAGGCGTCCCTCGCGTAACGCGTACTCCCGTTGCGCGAATTCGCAGTTACGCGTTTCATCTTTTAAGGACATACTTCGCACTTACGCTGTGCGTTTCACAGTTACTTGCTCAGGAAAAAAACATTTAATTTATTGATGAAAAACTTGTAATGATAAAAATGTAAAAGTAAAAAATATACTCTTTGGTTCTTTCGGTAAAGAAGCAAAGAGTATGGATTCCTGCAGTCAGGAAAGCTTCAAATCAAGTAAAAAATATGTTTTTCTGATGACTTCACCGCCATCTCCCATCCAACGAGAAAAGTTTTGCTGGCTGGATGGGAGGGATGGACGGACAGTCATGTCTAAAGGATGTGTGAATGGCTAGTGGTAATAATAACAATATCCCAGTGTAATGGTTGTTATGAATGTTTCTTTTGCTCTTGCCTGTCTGTACCATCAGGGAACAATTCGTTTTACGTCTGAGTGTTGAACTTATGGAAACCACTTCTGTACATTGGATTTTGTGAAGATTTACAACGTGTATGGTAGTAAAGTGCATAATAGAAACTTGCCAGTTAATTGTTTATGGCAGCTGTCTGGTGATTTATGCAGGAAGTTTGTAAAACACCCCACCTGCAGCAAATCTCATAGACCCCATGATGTCACCCTGCTCACATGTCGCAATTTTCACAGCTGTGAGTATCTTGCCTGAAGAGATGTAGAGCATTCACGATCGTGACGGCTTTAGCTGCAGTAAAACCTGTCGCATCCGTTTGGATTTGGAGGGGCAATTTCCCAGCCAGAAAAATAATTGGATCAATGGTTGGTTGTGTAGTGAGTTCAACTGAGTCGCAGACGTTATCTTGGGAGCAGCACTATTTATTCACGTAACAATACGCAACATAACACAACCTACGCTCGGGTCTCAAATGCCCATCTAACCACGCTACAGCAGACCTAGCCACGGTTCGCTATCCCGGTCCGGACCACAAGCCGGGTCCTGGACCGCGTGGCTAGAGGCTTCTTCTCCCCGACGTGGATCTTCGAACACCAACACTTGAATAACCCTGGGGCTGGAAAATATGGCGGCACAGCAGTGGCTCCTAGTTTAGACGTTGGATGAATGTTGAACTTGCACTTTGTGTAATCTTGGGCACTGCGCACACTCCGTACGACTGCCCCAGGGTTGTGCTGGACAGAGACATCTTTCTCATGACAAAAACGGCGCTTAGACATTGCTAATGGATGCAAAATCATCGTTTTCTATGATTGACTGCAGTCCATTATGTGTATTACCTATGGAACATGTGTAATAGTAACCTCCTCCTGTTAATAACTCTGTCTACACCATTGCAGTGTAGTACAGTATCAAAGTTAAGTGTCGCATTTGTACCGCAGACACCTATATACGGTGCTCTTGAATAAAGATGTCTGCTAAAAGTGGTTTTGTAACAGGGAGAACGTGGTGAACGAGGGGACAAAGGAGGCATTGGATACCCTGGGAAACAAGGATATCCCGTGAGTATTTCACCATGGGGGAGTGTAGTAGGAGCGATGGGAAGACCTGGGTGCTCCATGATGGGAATAACTAAAACATATCCTGGGTGCTCCATGATGGGAATAACTAAAACATCCTTTACCAAACGTTTTCATCATCAATAAGAAGAGCAACGATTCACCTTCTTCGTGATTTGACTAATCATCATTTTGGATCATTAGTTACAGTGTGATATTTATTCGCCCTGGTTTTATATGTGCAATCAATAGTGGCTACATGAGTCTATGAACCAATGACTATACAAATATATTGATTTGACATTAATGCACCTTACGCACGTTATTGGATACGTGCATTGATTAGTTTCTAAATCGTGATATCACGTTCATAAGAGTTACAACACATACACCCTAGGATACCCTTCACTACACCTCTGTTGGCAATTCAATCCAAATTCCCACTGTCACCCAGGTTGTACCGTCTCACTCACTACCGAACCACACGGGGGCAGGCTGGCACAGTGATAACGCTCGTGCCGTCCAGCCAGAAGGGCCTGGGTTCCATTTCCAACTCGGGTACCTTTTTGTGTGGATTAGGTATGTTCTCCCCCTGTTCTACATGGGGTTCCTCCGGATTCTCAAATTTCCTCCAATAGCTAAACAAACGTAACTGATTTGTCCAAACATCCCCATACTGAAAATGTTCTGCAAATTGCTCAATTGAAATTACACACAGCATTAATATCGCCCCTTATTGTGAAATTCGTCAGGTCTCTCCTGAAAGATTCTTGAGACTCAGTGATGGTTCCCTGGGTAAACAGTCCAATAGCAACAATATATAAACAAAGACCCCCCCGTATAGCCTTAATAAACTGTTGGGGCAAGTGCTGTTAGTGAACACCTATGAAGACCGACACAGCACATGAGGGGGTGGGTGGCCAGCACCACGCCCGACCGCCTTTGTCTCCCTAGTGGCAATGTTTATACACCGCACCAGGTACTCAATTGAGGCTGAGTCCACCTAGGGGATGCCCAGAACCGGTTTGGATAATCGCTACTGATGTTGGCCATGAGCGTGAATCGAACCTATGTTGCCAGGTTCATAGCGCAGCACTCTAACCGCTACACTACTGCTCCCCATAAAAATACAATAACACCACAAACGCCTTGACCACATCAACCATTCCTCAACAATTTGATACTCCATAAATAATACTTTTCTAATACAAATAAAGTACACCTACATCTCTGAAACATAATATCTTGAATGTAATTTCAAATAACATGTCCAAATGTATAAATTCAATCCATAACCATTTGTAATCTGTGTGCCAAATGTGTACACTTTTCTAATACAAATAAATTACCTGGTTATATTTTTATTTAAAGCTTTCGTGACTGCAGGGATTCATATTCTTCGTTCTTTCGGTAAAGTCACGTAGAAGGGAAATAAGCTCTGTTCTTTACCTGAAATATCGTGAGAATTTTATTTTATTATGTTTTATTTTTATTATTTATTATTTCCCTTCTACGTGACTTTACCGAAAGAACCAAGAATATGAGTACCTGGTTATCTTAACCCTTTCCCATTCCGAGAGATCTGCAAGTTGCAGGGTGGGTCCCATTCACCGCTGAATATCGGAATGCGCAAGCAGTTCAGGGTTAATTTTATATGTACATGTACGTCATCAGAATGGGAAAGGGTTTAGTAAGTTTGTCTTCATATATAAACGTTCTGCTTCATAATGTAACATAGTAATTAACTCTCAAATGGCACAACACTTTTATATGTTCATGTAATTCTGTATTCACCACTTCATTTCAAACTAAAGCTCTTATTCTTACATTAACCTGGCGTCAGATGATTTTGTGAGAGGTTGCGTCAGGAAAAAAAATGAAAGAAGTGAGAATCAACCAAATGTGACCAATTATATTACGGACGTTTTCCAGAAATGTTAGTCGGCGACTGTAATTAGCAATTTAATCTACTGCAGACAAAAAAATAAAAACGTGGTCATACGTCTCCTCATGCTGTAATGTTTAAGAAGAAGGACATTGCACATTTGACAAGTTGTTTGCCAGGGCTGTCCTGTCACAGGCAAAAATCAGCAAACCAGGGCCACCCATCCCTCTTGGAAACACGTGGCCGTGCCACGACAGAGCGTCTACCCCAGATCGGCATGTCAGCCATCTTCGGGACCCACAGATAAGACATTGATGTACTCCGAGGAATTGCCAAAGAGGTAGAAGCCTGGGCTTGCAAACTATGGTTTTGTCGTTGATCCACCTGTTGGTGTGTTGTCACATATAACCAGGTACGGTGATGTAATGTCACCGCACGTTCCATGTGAACTAATCTTCTCAAATGCGATTTTGTTGTCATTGTAGGGCGTGAACGGATACGATGGCTATGGTGTCTCCGGAGTTAGAGGACCTAAGGTCTCACAATTACCACCCAACACCTTCACCATGTGCTGTTGCCATTTTACGAAGTTGGCAATCTTCCTTTCAGTGTGGTCTTTTAGTATTATTTAATTGCATGTAGATGACAGTTTAAAGACCCCTTGCAACCTTTCTGGGGGAGAGGTAAAAAAAAACCTACGAAGAATGTCACTGGTATTGGCCAAAAAATCCAAACACTGGACAATTAGCTGCAAATTACTCAATTAGGATCACACACACAGCAGCAGCAGCAGCAACATCGCCCCCTATGGCTAAAACTTGGCAGGACCTTACTGAAAAAGGGTCTTGAGACTTCAGTGAGGCTTTCCTGGGCTAACTTGCGAATAATAATAATAATATAGTGAGTCCAACTGAGTCGCAGACGTTGTCTTGGGAGCAACACTATTTGTTACATCAACTCAACACAACATAACGTAACCTACACTTGGGTGTTGAATGCCCATCTAACCACACTTCAGCAGAACTAGACACGGTCCCGCTATCTCGGTCTGGCCCACGAGCTGGGTCCCAGACCGCATGGCTAGAGGCTTCTTCAACCCGATGTGGATCTTCTTCACAAACTACCCAAAGAACCCCGAGCCCCTCACGGGGCCCCTGTTATATCGGCCTTGGCTGGGGCTGGCTCCTCCTCTCGCCCCGCCCACCTTCTAGATCTCTCGAGCTCTCTCCCGAAGGCTCCCGAGAGCTCTTTTATTCCACGTGACATCCCAGAGGCCCCCGTGCACCGGTGGCCCCCCCTCCAATATCATTCGGTCACATGTCGGTAGGTCAACCAGCATATCATGCCCCAACGTAACCCTGGCTTGCTGACACTCCCTCTCGCTCCCTCACCGGGAGCCCGTACCACACACTGTACATGGTGCCTCCGTGCTAACCAGCGCTCACCCAAGCCCCGCTAGGGCTGATACTACGCCCAGTAACCGGGCTGCACATAATGACAACACATTATCCGCCGTGGCCTCGCAACCCCGGCACCACACAGTGACATTCACAGTCACTACAATAATAAATAAATCGCTGCAATGGCTATGTACAGCTCACCTTTTGATTGACACAGGCTACACCCGGTGTACCTCATAACGACAGAGCGTCGCTTCTTTATTCTTGCAGGGGGACGTCGGTGAAATCGGATATCCAGGAGAAATGGTACGCTTACTCCCCACTCTTTTTCATGAAATTGTATATGTTACCATTATGACCATGATCCTTTTGATAAGATATATACATTTTTAACCTGTGCTAGGGTGAACCTGGGACTTCAGGGGACAAGGGTGAGAAGGCTTCAAAAGGCTTCAAAGGCAGAGCGGTACTTGTGCCTGATTGGAATACATTTCAGTTGTTTTTGCATGCAGTTTACCACACATAGCGCATATAATGTTGCACCTATGCACATATCAACTGCTCATTTATCAACGTTACACGGTTCAGCTGTAGATGCACTCTTTTCATTCCCTATAATAGCCATCCACCGACCTCCTTGAATCTTCTACTACAAAAAATATTTTCCTATTCAAATCGTTAAACTTTATTTCATTAGGGCATACAGAATAACAAACCCCTTATTACCCCTATTGTCCATGCACATAGTGGAGCATGTATTTATGGTTCCTGTCAGAAAGTACTGTTTTGGATTCATAAAGGCAGGTACTACTGGTCCCAAATGATCACTTAGTTTTGTACTTAATTTATAATTGGATGCAATGTACTTGTTCTTGGATGCTGGTCGAAGTGGAAGATTAGGCCACATCTAGAGAGACTCGCTAGAGTGGAGGCCACCTCTAGTCTCTCTAGAGTCTCTCTAGAGGTGGCCTCCACTCTAGAGTCTCTCTAGAGGTGGCCTCCACTCTAGAGTCTCTCTAGAGGTGGCCTCCACTCTAGAGTCTCTCTAGAGGTGGCCTCCACTCTAGAGTCTCTCTAGAGGTGGCCTCCACTCTAGAGTCTCTCTAGAGGTGGCCTTCACTCTAGAGTCTCTAAAGGTGGCCTCCACTCTAGAGAGTCTCTCTAGAGGTGGCATCCACTCTAGAGAGTCTCTAGAGGTGGCCTCCACTCTAGAGTCTCTAGAGGTGGCCTTTACTCTAGAGAGTCTCTCTAGAGGTGGCCTTCACTCTAGAGAGTCTCTCTAGAGGTGGCCTCCACTCTAGAGAGAGTCTCTAGAGGTGGCCTCCACTCTAGAGTCTCTAGAGGTGGCCTTCACTCTAGAGAGTCTCTCTAGAGGTGGCCTCCACTCTAGAGAGTCTCTAGAGGTGCCCTTCACTCTAGAGAGTCTCTAGAGGTGGCCTCCACTCTAGAGTCTCTCTAGAGGTGGCCTTCACTCTAGAGTCTCTCTAGAGGTGGCCTCCACTCTAGAGTCTCTCTAGAGGTGGCCTCCGCTCTAGAGTCTCTCTAGAGGTGGCCTCCGCTCTAGAGTCTCTCGAGGTGGCCTCTACTCTAGAGTCTCTCTAGAGGTGGCCTCCACTCTAGAGTCTCTCTAGAGGTGGCCTCCACTCTAGAGTCTCTCGAGGTGGCCTCTACTCTAGAGTCTCTATAGAGGTGGCCTCCACTCTAGTGTCTCTCTAGAGGTGGCCTCTACTCTAGAGAGTCTCTCTAGAGGTGGCCTCCACTCTAGAGTCTCTCTAGAGGTGGCCTTCACTCTAGAGAGTCTCTCTAGAGAGGTGGCCTCCACTCTAGAGTCTATCTAGAGGTGGCCTCTACTCTAGAGAGTCTCTCTAGAGGTGGCCTCCACTCTAAGAGTCTTTAGAGGTGGCCTCTACTCCAGAGAGTCTCTTTAGAGGTGGCCTCCACTCTAGAGTCTCTAGAGGTGGGCTCCACTCTAGAGTCTCTCTAGAGGTGGCCTCCACTCTAGAGAGTCTCTAGAGGTGGCCTCCACTCTAGAGACTCTCTAGAGGTGGCCTCCACTCTAGAGTCGCTCAAGGTGGCCTCTACTCTAGAGAGTCTCTAGAGGTGGCCTCCACTTTAGAGACTCTCTAGAGTGGAGACCACCTCTGGAGCAACTCTAGAGTGTAGGCCAGCAATGGCTTGAGCACAGAACGTCAAGGCTGTTCCTTTATATGGTATGCTAAATAATGTGAAGCAGTTCAGATGGCTAACTGTAAGTATTCCAGTAATCTTCTCGAATATTTTTTTATATTGTATTCATTATGTTTACTCAAAGTGTTTGTAGGCTTGAAGAGCATCACGTCGCACAGTCTGTATGGTACTGGATGGCCTCTGATGGTGTTTGTTCACGTTTGTTCATGAGCCACAGTTGACGGGCGTTTTGCATTTGTGTTGCAGAGTGATGTGGGTCCGCCTGGCTCTGCAGGGACTCCAGGAAACTTTGGAACCCCTGGGCCTCCAGTACGTCGTGATGTCTATGGCTCTTACACATTCTCATAAAAGTTGTATTCCAATGGCAAAAGGTCTCATGAATTTATAATTTAATTGTCCGCTTGGGATACGACAGATTTCCAATAATAAGTTGGTGTTACTGTCTGATAAAAACTAAATATTTTTTGTCAAATTTTTACCGTTTCATTTATATTTCTTTTGTTTATACATCTTATTGTGCAAATGTTGCACCATTAGCATACATGTTTCATGAGCATAGTATTTGCATATAATTATAAAAATGCGTGAGTAATTGATTTTCACAAGCGTGAATAGCTGACTGTATTGTGAGTGTTATAATTGCCTCATCGATGTAAGATGTGTTTTGCTTGTTTATTTTAGGGACCCCAAGGGACAAATGTACCTCCTAAATTGGTGAGATGGTAGAATAAGACTCAAACACTACATTACATGCACCTCCGCTTAGCACAGTTGGCTACGTACGGTACGAAAGGCGTTCACCATACATACAGCTCTTCATTTGTATTTTTGTCAAGTATTGCCTTTTTATAAAAAAAAATTATGTAATTTTAAAGCCGTTTGGAAACTGGCACTTGTTTCATAATAATCATCATCAACGGTCACATCTCCAGAAGGAGGACGTTTCAGGGAACTACAGCACGTGGTGGCGAGATGTTATCTACCTTGCTTGGTATACAGGAGGTCGTGGGTTCAATCTCGAACCTGCCGCCTGTATATTTGGAGTTTGCGTGTTCTGCCGCGGTCGCGTGGATTTTTGTTCTCAGGGTCCTCCAGTTTTTCCCTCCACATTTAGAACGAACGTCACGCGTTCAGAGTATTTGGCTGCTGTACATTTCCACGTGATGATAAGCCCACTTCGTTGAGCTATCATTTGTGATTGCCAGGCCGCATCGGAAAAAGAGCTACATAGCTCCAGTCGGTCCTTACCTGATAAAATAAAAAATAGTTGAGTAAATAGTAAAAAAAAGTGAAGAGATAGTGACACCAGCGTTTGGCATCACGCCGCTCTTGCAGAGTCCCTCAGCCCGGCTCGCCCTGCCTTGATGTTGCTGCTGGGATCTGGCCCATTTCGGCCGCACTCAATCGGCGCGTGTGTTTTGATCTTAAAGTGGGGCAGAGGTCGCTCGGTGGGCAGTTGACACCGCCAGAAGTTTCCACCAAAGCCATTACTCAAAAAAACTGGACCAGGATCTCAGGTGTCTCTGATTTGGGGTTTTAATATCTGACGAAATATTTCAATAAAGCGCATCTTCCGAAACACATTAGAATGGCTTTTGTGTTGCATTACTCAACTATGTGAGCGTCTCACAATACACTTGCATGTACAGCTGTTAATTATTGTAGAGTAATAGACTATCTTGCTATGGATTTTTAATGCATTACATTGTTTGTTTCAATTGCAGAATTGCGAAATAATGAAACAAATCAGAGAAAACTGCCGTGAGTAGTTTTTATGAAAGCATTCAGATGTTTTATTGATGTGAGTTTGAGGTGTTTTTGCATCACATGTGAAATGAAGGCATTACTAACACATTGATTTACTTGTTTTACAGCTTGTTGTAAAGGTAAGAATTTTTTTCTTATATTAAATAAACTAGCTTTACAAATTCTTCGGTCTTTCGGTACAGTCACGTAGATAGGTTCACGTGACTTTACCGAAAGACCCACGACTCAAGAATATGAATTCCTGCAGTCACGAAAGTTTAAGTCAAGATTTAGCTTTACAAATTATTTAATACGAGCGGGAAGTACCCGGTGTTGTCCGGGCGAAAAAGACACACAAACACATCGACTTACACACACACACATGGACTTAACAACAACAACGGCCATTCGCCACTAAGTGGCGGTGACGTCACCACGACGCTTGTGCCAGGCTATGTGCACCTTGAGGCCACGTGAAGTGTCGGAATACCCGTTGGCAGGAGGTCACGGGGCAGACCCAGGTGCCACGGGTCGACTGACTGAGATGACTGGCTGATGCACCACCTGTGCCCCCTACTGTGCGAACTTGCTGTGCTTTAGCCACCCGGCGCTCCGCTCGTTATTGTGAGCATCGCTCCTCCACCCTCCGTTGTTGTTAGAGGGCGACTGCCTCCAACTGCCCAGCAGCGTCTTTCACGAGCCTCCTCCACAGAGGCCGATCTTGACACCGCTGGTACCAGTCATCGGCAAGTCCACTCAGCCCCAATCCTCCTGTACCACATCACTCCATTTCTTCTCTAGCCCGTGCCGTGCCTGTTTAGCCTCCTCTATCCGGCCGAACAAAAGCTGTTTAGGCATGCGGTGACTGGGCATGCGGGCTACATGACCCAGCCAATGCAGCCTTGCCGGCCGGAGGAGCTCACCGATGGGACTTTGCCCAGATCTTTAAAAATTTGTGATCGTAGGCAGGCCAGCCTAAATGTTTCTAATCGGCGAAGATGCTCCATTAGGGGGGTCCACGTTTCGCAAGCGTAGAGAATGGAAGGAATGACCGTGGCCAAGAAGACTTGAAGCTTCGTGTGGAGCGACAGACCAGGTAGCTTCCACACAGCGTTACGCAACTGATGAAAAGATAATGCCGCTCGACTGATTCTGAGTAAGACCTCTGCTGTCAAACCGGAGCTGGTCATGAGCACACTGCCCAGGTATGGGAAACTCTCCACTCTCTCCACAACTGCCCCATCACCGATTGGGAGTTATGGGGGTGGCACAAAATACCCAGACAGGTGCTTAGTTTTGGTGGGGCTGATAGTAAGGCCCCACCTCTTAGTGTCATGCTCCAGATCAATGGCATACATAACTTGGTTGACCAATAGGGAGCCATCCCTTGACCGCACCTGGGCATCGATAAGCCTCCCATTATATCTGTATCAGATGGAAATTCCTCTGGTACAGCCATCAAAGGCTTCACGAACTATGTGGTCAAAAAAGATGTTAAATAATGTGGGAGTCAGAGGACATCCCTGCCGCACCCCAAGTTGAACAGGGAATTTCTCCAACTCCCGGCCACGTAGTTTTACCCGGGCCCGCTCACCATCATGGAGGTCCTTAATGATCGTGAGCAGAGGGTCAGGGACTCCGAAAGCACGAATAACAACCCAGAGCCTAGGTCTACTGATGGTATCGTAAGCCTTTACCAGGTCAATAAAGCACCTCTGCTGTAGTAAACGAACAGAAAATATGGCATCTGTGCAGTACTGCCCTTTCCTGATACCACATTGAGGCTCCGCAAGCCTCTCCTAAGCGTGCCTGGCAAGGCGATGTTGAATAATCCTTGCCAGGAACTTTCCCGGCACACTGAGGAGTGACATGCCCCTGTAGTTGTTACAGTCTGTGCGGTCCCCCTTCTTAAAGTAGTATGTACTGGCTGTAGTAGTAGCTACTATAACTACAGTAGTATGTACTGGCTGTAGTAGTATGTACTATCACTACAGCAATATGTACTGGCTGTCGTAGTAGCTATACTAGCACTATAGCAGTGTGTACTGGTTGTAGTAGTAGCTATACTAACTCTATAGCAGTGTGTTCTGGCTGTAGAAGCTATACTAACTCTGTAATAATAATGTTGGTTCTTTCGGTAAAGTCACGTAGATAGAAAAATAATAGTAAAAAAGTGAAAAAACCCCATTAATGTAGACTAGCCTGGTTTTTAAGTTTGGTGAGTGTACTGGCAGTCTATAATGTAGACTGTATCAAGCAAGAATAAGTCTACATTATAGACTGCCAATACGCTCACCAAGCTTAAAACCCAGGCTACAGTCTACATTATAGACTACCAGTACACTCACCGAGGATAAGAACCAGGCTTCAGTCTACATTATAGACTGCCAGTACACTCACCCAGCTTAATAACTATTTCTACAGTCTACATAGTAGACTGGCAAAACACTCGCCCAGCTTAATGACCATTGCTACAATCTAAACTATAGACTGCCAGTACACTCACCAAACTTAATAACCAGGCTACAGTCTACATTATAGACTGCCAGTACACTCACCAAACTTAATAACCCGGCTACAGTCTACATTATAGACTGCCAGTACACTCACCATACTTAATAACCAGGCTACAGTCTACATTATAGACTGCCAGTACACTCCAAATCAGAACCAGGCAACAGTCTACATTAGTGGTTTTAATATTCTTTGGTTCTTTCGGTAAAGTCACGTAGGTACAAAATAAAATAAATCACGACGTTTCGGGCGCAAAAAAAACATTAATGTAGACTGTAGCCTGTTTTTTTAAGTTTGGTGAGTGTACCGGCAGTCTATAATGTAGACTATCAACTGTTTACAGTTTGCCTCAACAGCAGATCATGCTTTCTCACCTGATGACGGACGCTTGTGTTGCACCCGAAACGTCGTGATTTATTTTATTTTATACCTACGTGACTTTACCGAAAAAAACAGAGTATGGGATTCCTGCAGTCACGAAAGCTTCAAATCAAGATTAGTGGTTTTATTTAATAGTTATTTCTTTTTATTAACTTTTTTTTCCATCTACGTGAATTTACCAAATGAACCAAAGAATATGAATTCCTGCAGTCACGAATGTTTTAGGTCAAAATCTATAATAGTTCTAACTTCACAGAGTTTAGTGGTGAGGCCTAGTCCCGTGCAGAGCCCCCGGCCTCGCCTAGATTGCCCAGCCGGCCGAGGTGGCACTTTGGCAGGCTGGGGCTGGGCTGCTATCCCTCACCGCCCACCCACGATCCCCTCTGCAGTAGTATATACGGCCTATAGTAGTAACATCTACTGACTATAGTAGTAACTGCACGCATTGGGGTGGTGGAGGGGGGAGAAGAGGACATCACACTGTGAAGAATTCACCTCAGTGTTTTGTGTATTTTTATTGATTTTTTTTTACACGAATGAGAATTTTTCCCCAACCTCTGCGGATCGCGCGTGTGCGTTGCTAGGGGTAATCACGGCTTTGTAGCGCATGCGCAAACGTGTGCTTTGGCGCGCGCTGAGCGGCGTAAGGAAATACATTTATAATAAATTGCACTGAATTGTTAATTTAACTACTTTAAAGTTACCAGATGCGAAAATGGAATAGCGCTGGCTCACCACGGGGCTTATTGCGTGGGACCCGGGTACTTTTTTTTTAAACGTAAACCCCACGGTTCGCGAGCCAAGTTCTTCGCAAGTTTCGTCCACAGATAGAGAGACAGACAGACAAAACATGACGTTTATAGGTAAGATAGTGTTACAAATCAAACATGCCTTTTGCGCACATTAAATTACTGGATAAAGTCCTCACTACCCTGAGAACACTGCTTACTGATAATCTAATTGCAATATATTGGGGCCCGTTTCTACACAATACATTCTCAGAATTAAAATTATGTTATTCTTTGCCATCATTGATAATTACATTTAAATAATTGTTTAAGTGGGGTTTTTTTGTTTGTTGAGGAATGTGCCCTGTTCAAGTGGTGCTTCCTTTTTGGTGCTGTTTAGTGGTGTGTTTGACGATTATTCTCAAGTGCATCTTATTTCGTATTTCCTCTGGCTCGCTGAAGCCTTTCGAGCGCCCGACTTTCCCCGCTCCCTCGTTGTTTCGATTGTCCGTGCGTGTGACTCGCAGATAATTATTATCAGTTCAAAATCTTAAATATTTATTATAGTGGAGGAATCTGAAAAGCTTATAAAGCACTTTTTCGTAGATGTCCAGTAGGGGCAGGTTAGAAAGCTACAACAACAAAAAATACAAAAAAACATGACAGGTGCAAAGGATAGGAAAGGTAAGGACATCTCCATATATATAAAAGGCAAAGTTGTGAATGTGTGTCTGTTCAAAATGTTTAGCGTACTTCCCGACATGCAATAAACTTGAAATTTGCCATGTGGGTACTTTCCAGATTGTACAGCATGCAAAAATTATAAAAATACACGGCAAGTGAGCTGTGACGTCAAATGTCATGTGACCCGTGCATGTGGAAGCGTAACGCATTGTAGTGTAGTGGTTAGCACGCTGTGTGTGTGTCTGTATGTCTGTGTGGGGAGCGATAGTGTAGCGGTTAGCGCGCTGCGCTATGAACCTGGCGACACGAGTTCGATTCCCGCTCACGGCCAACACCAGTGACGATTATCTGAACCGGTCCCGGGCCTCCCCTAGGTCGACTCAGCCTCAAATGAGTACCTGGTGCGGTAAACATCGCCACTGGGGAGACAAAGGCGGTCGAGCGTGGTGCTGGCCACCCACACCCTCGTGTACCGTTCCGGCCTTCATAGGTGCTCGCTAACAGCACTTGCCCCTACAGTCTGTTAAGGCTATATGGGGGATCTTTGTCTGTGTCTGTGTGCAAGCTTCTGCGCCTCCCCTAGGTCGACTCAGCCTCAAACGAGTAACTGCTATGATGTGTGAACATCGCCACTGGGGAGACAAAGGCGGCCGGGCGTAGTGGGTCCAAGTCCCTGGCGAAGCCGGGTAGTACAGCTAGTTATATATAAAACTTAACTCTCTTATTTAACCAGGTAAAGTCCACTGAGCTATTTGCTTAATTTTCAGAAAGGACCTGGCCACAAATGATAGCTCAATGAAGTGGCTTATCACGTGCAAATTTATAGCAGCCAAATAATCTAAAATATTACCTCATCTCACTATGATAATTAATTTGACCAAACACAAAGCAAGTTTTAGGGTAATTACAATAAATACAAGAGCCGATAGCAGGTCATATACAATAATTAAACGCTGTCTATAGGCATACTGGGTATTTAAATTTTTATTATTAAATTCACTTTCTCTGTGGCCTGTTCTCATGCACCCCTTAATTTTGTGTTTTTTTTATCCCTCTCCGCCTTTCAAAACTACTCTAGGCACATACACATGCACACTCTCCGCTGTGTTTCCAGTTGTCCCTCCCCAAAAGATCTGTTCAATCGTTCGGTAAACTCATTGTAGACATCCGTAGCTTTGCTCATTCATATTGAGCCTCACTGTGCAATCTTTATTTCTACGTGGAACAGAAATTGACAAAGAAGATGGAACAAATTGGAGGGGTGCATGGTTGGCATGATACTGAGAGATATGGAGAGGTCATATGCAAGTTAATGACACGGTATTGACTTAGGTAGGTAGGCTTGAACAAGAACAATGTTTCTAGAAGGGATGATGAGCAATGGACAGGGAGGGAATGCTTCCGATGGGAAGACAGCCGAACAGTGTTGGTGATGAGGTCGGCTCATGTGCGGGAGTTGGAGCATTGCATGACATAACGGAAAAGACACGGGGAAACCTTCATCCAGTAGTGGATAGATCACGGCAGGTGATGATAATGATGAAAGGATTGTGCATGACAGCGGCGAGATGTTTTTGTTTATTGCTTGCCCACCGCTGCTAACAGAGCTGCACGCGACGTAAAGCCATCACCCGGGGTGGTATTTGCGACGTGTGCAATAATGCCGAGTTCACCTCTCTCGAGTACCTTGTTGAACTTCGTGCAGGAACGTGCCCCCCATACCCACTGGAGCTGGTGTTCGCGGTGGAGATCTCGCCTCAAATGACACAAGCACTCTTTGAGTTGGTGAAGACCTCGATGGTGGAACTCCTTCGCGATGTGCTCATTGCCAGGAGGAGCTGTCCTCAGGGGGCCCGTGTGGCGGTCGTGACTTACAGCGGCTATGGGTGAGAACCACAACGCTCCGCTCATTCCCCTAGGCACAGTGTTTCTTAACTTAGGGTACACGCACCCCCTGTGGGTGCCGGATGGCCTTTGTAGGGGCGCGAGACATGGCCAGATTTTTCATAGAAGGTAAATAATCGAAAACACAAATTAAGCACGGGCATGTAAGTACAACTACTTTGTTTCATTAAAGCTATGTATTTATGAACAGTATAGACTTGTTTTACGATTGAGAACCAAAGTGATTAAGGCTGCTGTAAAGGTTTAGAACCACTGCCCTAGGACGTCAGGGATTCCTCCCTCATCGTGGACCTGTTGTGTGGAACTGGTCAAATGAAAGGGGAGTTAAAAACACGAAACGAAAAACAAGCTGTTGTAAACTACAACAAACATGTCGATGAAAATGAGAGATGTTGAAAAGGAAGAAAAATCCAAACCAAGGAAATAAACTACTTAGCGATTTAAAAAACCATGAGGGGAGGAATGACAAGGGATGCACTAGATTATGTCATGGATAACATTTTACGGTTTTGAAAAAATTGAAAATTATTCAATTAAAAAAACTTTATTTTAGCAGGAAAGGCCCACTGAGCTATATAGTTATTTTACAGAAGCGACCTGGCAATAAATGATAGCGCAATTAAGTGGTTTATCACGTGGAAATTTATAGCAGTCATATATTCTAAACACACGTTTATTATAAATTGGGATTACACACAGCTGCAACATCGCCCCTTCTGTGAAACGACAGCAGGCTGTGTCTGTGGAACGTACAGTAGCGCCTTCATTTGCCATGACTCGACGCTATAAGAATATCCCGAATACCAAACCAACTAAATTAAGATATCGTTTTATGTTGAAGTACTTCTAAAACTTTAAGTAATCAGTAACCATTGACTGATTTTAAAATTCGCTTGCAAAACTATAGTTGATGGTATTGCCTACACTTTTTAGGATTTGCAGATGAACGGGTTACAACTAAGTACAGGTGTAGATAGAAGTTAAGCAGTGTTGTTTCCAGATGCATAAACATTCTGGGATGTGGGGTCGTCCTTCACGTTTCCATCGGTGACAACCACTCTGCATCACCTACAGAAAGTGACATTGGTCATCCTGCCTATGACAGCAAATATATACATCCAGTTTACAGTTCCAGTTTATGAAATTTAGCGATAGATTATATTTTTCCAGTTCCGATTTTTTATTCGGTTTAACCCTCAAAGTTGGACGATGTGAACGACGATGAATGAGATGCAGAGGATGGTGACAAGATGCAGACAGCACTCAATTTCCACCTCGGTGGAATTTCAGACGTGAGTGAAATGAAGGTCTACACGAATCGGTGCCCACAGTGTTTTCCCACCGTGGGCACCGCTTCGACGATCACCACATTGCGGGCCTTCAGATGCGCTCCTATGGCCGTCTGGAACGATCTTCCGATATTAGGAAGGAAGCCACTGGAACTTTGCACTTTTCAAACTAGTTTGAAAACTCATTTTTTTCTAACTTCTTTATTGTCTTAAGTTTGTACTTCCACCCGCACCTCCGATTAGCATGGTTGGTTACGTATGGTGCAAAATAAGTTCAACATAGATACACTTCAAAGGATAGCTACATATTCAGTCAACCCCCCACAAAGCGGAAATCTAACTATTATATGAAGACACAGTTGTAAACGCTGTATTATTTCTCGTAAACATCAGAGTATTTATGACTGTGACTTGTAAATGGTTTTCTTAACCACACCTTGAGTCATGATGTAAATCATTATATTGTGCTGCGCTTTCAGACCCTCCGCTCAGATTCGACACAAAATCCACTTCAGCGACTACAGCGACAAAGAGACGCTGAATCGAACCATCAGAGATCTACCATACGTCAGTGGACATAGCGATGCCAATCTGAACACAGCCATGAAGCTCATCGGGAGAAACACTTTCAAGAGAATCCGGTCCGGAATCCTTGTGAAAAAGATGATTGTGGCTTTTACAGCGATGGACTTCGTAGATGACACTTTTGGCGCGTTGCAGAGAAGTCTGGCAGCTGAGAATATTTCTGCAGTGTTCGTCGGTTTTGAAAACCAGAAAATCGATCAAATTGACAACCAGGTAATGCACCATATAGTCTAATGTGTACAGTGAATGTCGATGTATTTTTGAGAGTAAACTTTATTTTACATATTTTTTTCATAAAACATGTTAGCCCCGATACGAATGCTAAATACATTTTGCTTTCAGAATTAAGTGCGAATGCCAATTTTGCAACAACAACTAAAAAAACTTGAGAAATATGGACTTTCGAGTGGAAAAATGGAATGTTGCTATTCTAAAAAGAAATGGAGTGGCATCCTTGACAGTTTTATTTCAGACTAATTTTTAACGTGGATCAGTTTACCGTGCATTCACATGCGATCAGTGGCCATGATTTGGGGTTGCACGTTAACTCAGGAATAGACATTGGCTGCAAAGTATTGTGAGGAAGTGACAACACACGCTAGTGGGCAAGAGGAACATTTCCAGAAGTGGCGTCGGCTTTAGACATGCAATGATTCATCCCCACCCCGCTCTGGAAGTGATTCAATACATTATCACAATTTGGGGCTAATTCAAGAGAAATAAAATTTCCACATTTCTTTCACTCATGTATGGTTTTGTAAATAGTTGCTTCGCCATGGTGTCAAGACGTTGATACCTCACCTGGTATACAGACCTTGACGCCTGCTGCAAATTTGGAATTTGCATGTTCACCCCATGGTCGCGTGGATTTTTCTCTTGGTCCTCCGGGTTTTCTCTCCACATTTAGAAACACGAGTGTTTGGCTGATATACATTTCCACCTAATTATCCACTTTGTTGAGCTATTATTTGTGGCCAGGTCGCTTCTGAAAAAGAGATTCATAGGTCAGTGGGCCTTACCTGGTAAAAAATATATGTATTTTTAGATTATAATAAACCTCATGACTGACAACAGAATGGGGAGGCCTTAATGAAGGAGTCGATTGACCATCACTGCAAATTATTGTTATTAATATTGTAATTTCAACACAATTATGGAAATAAAAAAATAGACGTTTCATCTGCTCACAGGTGCACTTGTCTTCTTCCATCCATTGTCTTTGCAGGGCAGTGACACGTTCTTCCGGGTGTTTGTTCTCCCACAACAAGAAGCAGCTCGAAAGGAAGTATACAATGGCATTCTGAAGTGTGCTATTTGTTTTGGTAAATATATCTTTGCATGTTTTTTTGTATCTGCATGTATACCATGTTTTACATTTTTCTACCGCGTAATTTAGTTACTCGAATTGCGTTAATGGTACAATTAATTCAAAGGGTATCATTAATCAGAATCTCAAAGGCTTTTTAACTACTATACATTTTGCAGTTTACCGGCATAAAAAAAAACTCCTTCATATTTATGTAGTGAGTCCAACTGAGTCGCAGACGTTATCTTGGGAGCAACACTATTTATTCCGCAACTTAACACAACATCACACAATTTACACTCGGGTCTCGAATGCCCATCTAACCACGCTACGGCAGAATTAGACACGGTTTGCTATTCTGGCCCAGACCACAAGCTGGGTCCCGGACCGCGGGGCTAGAGGCTTCTTCTCCCCGACGTGGATCTTCTTCACACCAGCACACGAAGAACCTCGAGCTACTCCAGGGCCCCCGTTATATGCCTCTGGGCTGGGGCTGGCTCCCCCCTTCACCCCGCCCACCTTCCAGATCTCTCGAGCTCTTTCTCGAAGGTTCCCGAGAGCTCTTTTAGACCACGTGACCGCCCAGCGGCCCCTTGTCCACCGATGACCCCCTTCCAGTATCATCCGGTCACGTGTCAGCAGGTCAACCAGCGTCTCATGCCCCAACGTAACCCTGGCTGGCTGACGCTCCCTCTAGCTCCCTCACTGGGAGCCCGCACCGCACACTGCTCGCGGTGCCTCCACGATGACCAGCACTCACCCAAGCCCCGCTAGGGCTGGTACTACACCCCGTGAGCAGGCTACACATGTCAGCACATAATCCGCCGTGGCTTCGTGAGCCCAGCACCACACAGTGACAACCACAGTCACTACATTTATGTGAAACTATAAAGGGACTGTAATTGCTATTGGAGTAATACCCTTGTCAGTGTTGATGTCAGTCATGCACCAGCCTTGTGAATTACCCTTGAACACGGAGAGGCAGAGGTGTAACCATGCCTCGATTCAAGTTGATTACAAGCTGAAGATGCATGCATTGCATCCCATTGAATGCCATGTTTCAAAACGGCCGCTCTTATATTTGTATCCTGTATCTGCTTCATCCTCGCCTTGTCCCATTCATATGGGCCCAGCGGCTCTGCCTCTTAGTCTCGGCCTTGCCCTGTGTGCTGCATCCTTGTGATCTAGAGGCCAAGCCCAATGCCTGACATACCCTCCTCAATCTTGTCTCGTCATTCTGTCTCATCAATTGTTTTCCTGCGACTCCTGCACTTACCCGGAAATAACTCACTGAGTCTCAGGACTGTTTTTCAGAAGGGCTCTGGCAAGTTGTTGCTGTTGTATATTCCCAATTGAGTTATTTGGGGGTAATGATTCAGCATTGGGATGTTTGGCCAATATCAGTTATTTTGTATTTTTTACTTTTGCTGTGAGAGATAACCAGAGAAAATGGAGAAAACCCATGCAGATTAGAGGAAGAGTATACAGACTCAACACAGATTGGTGCCCGAGTCAGGAATCAAAGCTAAACCCTTGCTGGGAGGCGAGAGTTCCACCACTGTGCCACCCATGGTAATCGATTTTTGTATTGATCGTGATTACAATGGCGAATCTGACCCCTGGTGTTGGGGAGAGTTTTTACAATGACACCTGTTAAGTACCTCGCCTGGTATACAGGAGGATGTGGGTTCGATCTGTACCCTGATGCCTGTAAATTTGGAATTTGCATGTTGTCCCCGTGGCCGTGTGGATTTTTTGTCTGGGTTCTCCAATTTTTCTCTCCACATTTAGAATTAACATGCGTTTAGAGCATTTTGCTGCTTTAAATTTCCATGTGACAAGAAGCCACTTCTTTGAGCTTTCAGCTGTGGCCAGGTTGCTTCTGATAAAGAGATATATCTCTCAATGAGCCTTACCCTGTAAAATAAAATAATAAAATAAATAGTTCCACTGTGCTGTTACATACTCTGCTTGATATAATGACGTTAACAAGCGAGCCGTTTTGTTTTCCCAGATATTTGCAAAAAAGGACAATGTGAAAAAGAGATTCCTATCACGATGGACATTGCCTTTGTGATCGACAGCTCAGATAGCATAAAACCCGAAGACTTTCTCAAGATCAAGTTCTTCTTAAGCTCTTTGCTCGACCGCTTCAGTATCTCGGACGACCCCCAGCTTGAGTTGAACAAGTCGCGCGTGGCACTTGTGCAGTACACGCCCGGAGCATTGGATGAAGACCTGAAACCGAAAGACCCCGTGAAGCTCGAGTTCAACTTCACACATTATGCAAACAAGGCGAAAATGAAAACCCACATTGAACGCATGAGGCAAATCGAAGGCACCACGGGCACTGGCCATGCCATCAAGTGGACCCTGGAGCATCTCTTTGGTAAAACGCAACACCCTCGGAGTCACCGCGTAATTTTTGTCATCACCGACGGCGAAGCGAAGCCCTGGGACAAGGATACTCTCCACAGCGTCGTGCTGGATGCCAAGTGCAAAGAGTTTGCCATGTTTGCCATCGGCGTTGGAAAAGACATCAACCAAACCGAGCTCCATTACATTGCAAGTGAACCGATTAACCAGCACTACATCAAGATCGAAAGGTACACCCAGTTGACCGAGTTAAATGTGAACAGCAGGATAAAGAGTATCCTCACGCAGTGGAAAGGTAAGCCGCGACGTTGCACTGTTTATAGAGAAATGTATCCGACCTGATTTTAACAATTTGTTTCTCATTGTATTCCATAGACATTGCTGGTGATGTAATAACATATATACAGTGGTATCTCAATCAGAGAGACTATTCTTGAACATTGACCTACATGGGAATTTTTAGCGTGCCCAAAATGAAGCATTGTCTATTTTAGCTTTGACACTTAAGATATTAGTTTGAGATGCAACAGCTCCTAGCAGGGCACGTGGAGCTTCTGTTGATTAAGTTAAATGTCGATTGAGGTTACTTGAGTAGTTCTCGACACATTTGTCAAGAACAACACCACTGTGTGTGGCCTTAAAGAAAAACTACAGAATATACGAAATTGCGGGCAATGGCCCTTCTTCATGGCATGCAAATAGAGGGGCCAGAGAGAGAGATAGAGTGAAACGTCACAGTACTCTAGTTATAATTCTTGTGGGTCTACTTTCCAACACACTGGTGTGCTGAACTAGTAACTAATCAGCACGTCTTGTTTACATGACAAACCTTACTGATTGGCTGTGTCGGGTGGTGGTGGGTTAGCGACATTTATGCAATCTAACCCAAAAACCTTTATTTTGAGATAGAGCAGATAATAAGGGTTGGAGACTGTACTAAATACCATGGAGCCTGATGAGAATACAAACCAAAAAAATCCTGATCATCAGTTTTAAATTGGCACGTGAATAGTTCCCTTTTAGTAGATACCAAATTAAAGTAGTTCTGACGTGAGTAGAAGTGATGTTAGTTTCAAGTTCCGGATTAGCATTGTCCTTTCTCACAGCATGATGCTGACAGCACATAATATAATTGAGACACAAGAGAGGACAAATCCGTATATTTTAAGAAAGTATAACGGTCTATTTATGTGTGCTTGCTTTAATGTGTGCATCTTGTTACTTGCAGATAAAACTTTGATGTACCCATTGAATAAAGACAAGTGCAATAGGTAAGTGATGGAGAGATGGGAAGGAGGGAGGGTGGTAATATGTGGGGGGGGGGGGAGGGGGTAGATGCAAGAAACAAAACTGCATTGAAGAGAAAGGGATGTAACATGGAAGTGAGAAGGGGAAAGATTTATGAGGAAATAAAAAAAAAACTAGAGAAAAACGGCGCTCTTTTGCCCAGAAATGCCTCATCGAATCTCAAGGCTCTTTTTCTGGGAGGGCGCTGCCAGGTTTTCAGTAGGGGGCAATGTTGCTGCTACTGGTAGTGTGTGATACCAGTCGAGTATTTTGCGGGTGGTGTTTCAGCATCGCGATGTTTGGCCAATATCAGTTACATTGTACGGTTGAAACCGGAGAAAACCCACGCAGAACAGGGAGGACAACATACAACCTTCACACAGAATGGCGCCCGAATCGGGAATCGAACCCAGGTCCCCTTCTTGATGTGAGGCGCGAGTGGCACCATGGCGCCACCATACAGACAGAGGGGAATGAGAGGAAAGGATGGGGGCGGGGAAGTGAGAGACGGGAACACACGAGAAGACAAGACTAATTAGAGTTGAGCAAGAAGAGTTGAATATGAATAGCAAGCACAGTGAGAGATGTGGACCACCACACCCTAATACGCGAGGTAGGACTCAGCCGCCGGGCCACGTTGGTATTTCCATTCAGGACTATGCTCGGTACATGTATAATCAACACGCTTTCAGAGTATTTGGCTGCTATAAATTCCCACGTGATGATAAGCCACTTCGTTGAGATTACGAAGCTTGGCTGACCATAATAAAACTAGGTGACAACATCACACCGCCAGCCGTGTCAAACGTTACTGTCGACCAGGTTGCACAACAGCTGCTTAACAATGGGAAACAGTTGCAAAGAAGGAACAATGGAGAACATCATCGCTCTATTGTACCGCCTGACAAGCAACCACCCAAACACTCAACCCGCCCATTTACTATGGATGATCTCACAGGCGGCATAGGCCAACTTAAACAGGGGGAGGCAGCAGGAGTAGATGACATACTAATTGAGGTGATACAACATCTAGGACCCACTGCAATCAATGGCTCCTTGACCTATTCAACGCATGTATGATGAGTAAACAGATACCATCAGTATGGAGGAAGGCAAGCATCATAACTCTGCCCAAATAAGCGAAATACCTTTCATCACTAAAAGCTACAGACCGATCTCCCTCCTTAGCATCACTTACAAACTCTACGAACACCTTATCCTGCAACGAATTTCACCTCTGGTAGATCTCAAACTCATACGAAACCAAGCGGCATTCAGACCCGGCTGATCCTGTGCAGGCCAACTACTAAACCTCAAACAGCACATCGAAGATGGTTACCAACAGAAGATGATCACAGCCACAGCGTTTGTTGATCTGTCTGCTGCATATGGCACTGTTCAACACTAAATGTTGATCCACAAACTATACCTCATAACTGGCAACCTAGACCTTAGCCAGACCATTCATAGCCTTCTGGAACTAAACAGGCAGAAAATTAGATGGCGTTCTCAAAAGAATGGCTTACCACAAAGCAGTGTGCTCGCCCCACTTTTATTCAATATCTACACCAATTATCAGCCACTGACTGCTGAATGTCAGCGGTTCATCTCTGCTAAAGACCTCTGTATTACCACACAGCAGAGAAATTTCGAGAACCCAGAGAAGATCCCGGAGAGGGCACTGAACGAAATGTCAAGATGCTACATAAATAATAATCATATCAAACCCAACCCGAGTAAAACCCAAATCTGTGCCTTCCACCTGAGAAACTGGGATGCAGAGCGACACCTGAATATTACCCGGGAAGACCAGTGCCTCGAACACCAGAGTCACCCAGTCTACCTTGGGGTAACTTTGGGTCATATACTCAGCTACAAAAAATACACTTTAAATACCAAAGCCAAGGTCAAGACAAAATATTCTGCGAAAGCACCACTGCCTTAGAAATTTGTCTTTCTGTGGCTGAATATGCATGCTCTACCTGTAAACATCTCGACACCGCCCTAAATTACACTTGCAGAATCATATCAGGATGCCTGAGAGCCACCCCTGTTCCCTGCTTATATGTGTAGTGACATATATTGAGTCACTATGGTGTTTGGCGCCAACTGTTGGAAGAAGGGTGGTATTTCATCATTAGACCTCCTTTGCCAGTACCAAAATGTAATAATAGGGTTTTTCCCTTTTTTTCTGGCAACAAAACTGAAACCTTTTGGCGTCATCTGGTCGAGCACCAATTGGGTCAAGGCTCAAAAGAAAGCCGTCCCTTGGTGTGGACCAATCAGTTTCAAGGACAATGCATATATTATCATAGTATGTTTTTTGTTTGCATTTTGACTGCAGGTATTGTGGTTAATGCAGACATGAATCCTCGTAAAAAAAAGGTTTCAGTTTTGTTGCCATAAAAAATGGGAAAAACCCTATTATTACATAAGGGTGGTATTGTACATATTAGCGTCTCTCTCTGGCACCAGTGTGTGCATGGCATAGAAGCGGGCCCTTGTGGGCATGCTTTGTGTGACGGCCAGAGAGAGGGTACTTATATATAATAGTCTGGGTGAACCCGAGAGGACACGTGACCAGGAGAGGGTAGCAAGGGGGGCCAAGGGGTAGCGAGAGGGACACGCGACATAAGGCCCAGAATCTTCTAATAGAGACTAGAAGGGGGCGTGGCCTAGGGCGGAGCCAAGCCACGTTCAGCAGGCTGTCTCTGGGAATGGAACCCGCCGAGCTACGTCTTCGATCTTCGGTCTTCACGCACGGCATTGTGGACCAGGCAGGGTGTTAACTGACCTGGGTCTCGAGTATGTCATGACCCGTGGTGGTTACTACCATATAGTATCCCGTCGAGTGGTTATGTAGTTCTCGTGGTGGTCACCACCCTATGTCTTTATCCTGTGAACGCTATATATAGTTACCCCGTTGTATTCAGAATAAACGTGTTACCTCCAAGTTCGAGTGTGCGCATCTGTGGAACCCACTACATATGCACTATCTGGCGCCCCCTAACATCAAGAGAAGAGTAGCAGGTGGCCAAGACCAGCAAGTCCGAGAGGGGGACGTCCATAATCCGCTACATGGTCATCAGCCAGCACAGCGTGTCTGTCATTGAGAAACAGCTTCTTGTGATCCACTGTACCACTGACCACATGACCGGAATCTGATGGAACTTCCCTCTGGCAAAAAGAATGGGAAAAATCGAGTGACAAAACTGTTGAATGGAGCCGGTGAGAAATCATCTCCAGTGAGGAGCTCGCATCTGGCTCCAATTCCAAATGGCTCACATGGCAGAGCCTAAACAGACAGAGTGGGTTTCGGCAGATGCAACTCTATCGTGAAATCATGGGACTTCTGCACAATCGAACAATGCGCTTATCAGGAGAGGCAAACCATGAATCATCTCCTGAGATGCCCTGCAGCACAACAATGCTCTCCTCAAGATTTGGCAATGCCAACACCAGAAGCGGTGGCCTATGCAGACTATTAGGCAAAAACTATATAGGTTGGACAGGAGACGACGAAGAAAACTTAGTTGAGCTATCATTTGTAATAGCCAGGTTGCTTCTGAAAAAGAGTCACATAGCTCAGTGGGCTTTACCTAGTTAAATAAAAAAATAGTAGTTCAAAGTCTATCGGTGCTTCTGCCATTGGGGCACTGCCTTGACGTGCAGCTGAAGCTCGTGAGCTCTGTAGACCCAGAGTGGCTCTACTGCATCGAGGAACCCATAGCAGTGAGGTACTCGGTGAGAGGCAAGACAAAATGTGCCCCCTTCAACCTGACACTGATCAACGTGGTGAAGTATGGTCCAAGCGTCCCCACGACCAATATCTAAATAATGGCAACGGATAGGTGGGTGAAGAAGCAGGATATGTTAAAAAAATCAATGCCTTCTGCATCTGACCATCACTACGGCACATAACGTTGTTGAACTGGAATAAAAATTGGCAGAAATAAGCTGGAGTGTCACGAACATTGATATGTATGATGATTGATCAATTGTCATGACTAATTCTGCTCATTTGACTTCCCCAGTCGCACACAAATGGACCAATCAGCAGACACCTCAGGTAATGCAAAATGTAACTTGCACAATTGAACTGTCAAATGTAAAAACGTACAGCAGTGGGTGCTTGAACACATGAATAATCGCAGCGCAGGTGTGTGAGTTGTAAAGTTGCAGAGTGGTATCAACGGCAGTGGTTTGCGATGACCTCCTTGATCTTGATCTTTACAGCCACTTACAGTGAGGGAAAAAGTATTTGATCCCCTGCTGATTTTGTACGTTTGCCCACTGACAAATAAATTATCAGTCTATAATTTTAATGGTAGGTTTATTTTAACAGTGAGAGACAGAATAACAACAAAAATCCAGAAAAACGCATGTCAAAAATGTTATAAATTGATTTGCATTTTAATGAGGGAAATAAGTATTTGACCCCTCTGCAAAACATGACTTAGTACTTGGTGGCAAAACCCTTGTTTGCAATCACAGAGGTCGGACGTTTCTTGTAGTTGGCCACCAGGTTTGCACACATCTCAGGAGGGATTTTGTCCCACTCCTCTTTGCAGATCTTCTCCAAGTCATGAAGGTTTCGAGGCTGACGTTTGGCAACTCGAACCTTCAGCTCCCTCCACAGATTTTCTATGGGATTAAGGTCTGGAGACTGGCTAGGCCACTGCAGGACCTTAATGTGCTTCTTCTTGAGCCACTCCTTTGTTGCCTTGGCCATGTGTTTTGGGTCATTGTCATGCTGGAATACCCATCCCCGACCCATTTTCAATGCCTTCGCTGAGGGAAGGAGGTTCTCACCCAAGATGTGATGGCCCCGTCCATCGTCCCTTTGATGCGGTGAAGTTGTCCTGTCCCCTTACCAGAAAAACACCCCAAAAGCATAATGTTTCCACCTCCATGTTTGACGGTGGGGATGGTGTTCTTGGGGTCATAGGCGAGTTGAGTTGATGCCAAAGAGCTCCATTTTGGTCTCACCTGAACACAACACTTTCACCCAGTTGTCCTCTGAATCATTCAGATGTTCATTGGCAAACTTCAGACGGGCATGTATATGTACTTTCTTGAGCAGGGGGACCTTGCGGGCACTGCAGGATTTCAGTCCTTCACGGCGTAGTGTGTTACCAATTGTTTTCTTGGTGACTATGGTCCCAGCTGCCTTGAGATCATTGACAAGATCCTCCCGTGTAGTTCTGGGCTGGTTCCTCACCGTTCTTATGATCATTGCAACTCCAGGAGGTGAGATCTTGCATGGAGCCCCAGACCGAGGGAGATTGACAGTTCTTTTGTGTTTCTTCCATTTGCGAATAATCGCACCAACTGTTGTGACCTTCTCACCTAGCTGCTTGCCAATGGTCTTGTAGCCCATTCCAGCCTTGTGTAGGTCTACAATCTTGTCCCTGACATCCTTGGAGAGCTCTTTGGTCTTGGCTATGGTGGAGAGTTTGGAATCTGATTGATTGCTTCTGTGGACAGGTGTCTTTTATACAGGTAATAAGCTGAGATTAGAAGCACTCCCTTTAAGAGTCTGCTCCTAATCGCAGCTCGTTACCTGTAGTAAAGACACCTGGGAGCCAGAAATCTTTCTGATTGAGAGGGGGTCAAATACTTATTTCCATCATTAAAATGCAAATCAATTTATAACATTTTTGACATGCGTTTTTCTGGATTTTTGTTGTTATTCTGTCTCTCACTGTTCAAATAAACCTACCATTTAAATTATAGACTGATCATTTCTTTGTCAGTGGGCAAACGTACAAAGTGTGCAGTCGATCAAATACTTTTTTCCCTCACTGTACATTTGTTCTTGTCAAGACAACGACTTTCCAGAGGTTTCAGGCAGTGATAGGTCAGTCATTCCCAATCTCAGCCTGCATGCTAGCAATGCTATCTATTGAACTTTCACACCATACGTAGCCAACTGTGCTAATCTGAGGTGCATTATAGTTGAAGCATTCACGTATTTTTCCTAAACAGCTGGAGAAAAATAAAGTTCCTCACTACAGCGTATCATTTTCATGGGCCAGTGGCTATAGCTGGCATTGGTGCCTCAGCTTCTGGACATGCATCTCTATTCGCTACTTGCTACCCCCTCATCGCTCAATTGCTCGATATAAAGGGAATGATTTCACCAACATCTTGACCAAAATGATGTTTCACCCGCCGATAACATTTGCCACTCATCAAGGTAATCATAGGAATTGTCAATATTGTGAGTGAGAGTTCATTCTCTTTTAAAACTACTGCTGGTGGAAGGGACTTCATTCGAGTAAACTCCAGCATACATTTGTCCTACTTGTCCACGTTGATGACCATATGTTTTGGAAGAGGTGGGCATTCCCACACTTTTTCTAACCACACAAAACCTGCCGATAGACTGCAGGGAACCCATTTAGACTGCTGGGTGGACAGGGGTGGAGACACCCGGATTGCGAGTCCAGTGTCCAACCGTGACACCACGGCTGCTCCCTGAAGAGTTCTGCTGTAAATGTGGCACGTTTTCAGGATGATGACGTGTTTGTGTTGTAAGCTCCGTGAAATGTCTGATTTTTATATAAAACGTTCTGAATGTGTTATAAAACTATTGTTCACCAAAATGAGACCTATTTATTAAATGTCGCACTACAGTTGCATTATCGTATCGCTATAATAAAAGTACGTTATATTTTCATGTACTTTATCCAAAATAATATGTTTTTAAATGCCTCGATGCTATTATGGAGTAAAGTCGCCTTACATTAATGAATTATATGTTATGTTTTGTAGGTGCCTTGGGCAAGAGTAAACCATTAGCTGCAGTCATCAGAGATGTTAACCACACCAGCTTCGTATTGGAATGGAATGCACCAGACCCAGGCGAATTTCTAGTAACTGTTACGGACAAGGAGACTGGAGACGCGCCGTTCAGGGAAATGACGAATTCCACGACAGCCAATGTGATGGGTTTGACGAGCTGTCATAATTATTTGATACAAATACAGTCGGTCAACAGCGGAGCTCCAGGATTTAGTTACACGGGCAGCCACAGAACACGTGAGTACAAAGTAACATTCAGCACCACAACGTGAGATGCCCACTCATGTCCACACGTTTTGGTCAATAGCGATAACTGTATCCATAACCGTCTCTACATTTTTCTTGGTTTTTTCGGTAAAGTCATGTAGTAGGGAAACAATAAAATAATAAAAATATAAAACAATAAAATTCTCACGTCGTTTCGACTGCAACACAAGCAATCATCATCAGGTGTGAAAGCCACAGCAAGAAAATTTGAAAAAGTGGCGGTTATTTTTAACGTTAGCACCACGGAGAGAGATTTGACAGTTTGTTCAGATGGACGAGTCCATCTATGTTCGGAAAAGAGGAGGGGGGAGACGAAAATGATGGATGCAGTCTGAAAGCCACCGTAAGCGTGAACAATCAATTAAGACCCGAAATGGTTTATCAAATCCTTCCAATGATTGCTAGCCAGAATCCATCTTCTCGGTTGAAATTGTCTCTGTGTTTGTATATGTGGATAACCTCATGAACGAATCTCTCATGGTAGCCAGATGGCTTGCAAAGAGGTTTACTGCCAGAGCTAAAATAACCATACTATGTATGTATGTTTAACTTCTTTCGCACATACATAGCCAACCGCAGTTATCGGAGGTGCGGAGGAAGGAAACTAAACACAAAAAGCAGTTCTAAGGAAATTAGTTTTCAATCTAGATGATTTAAAAGTGCATAGCTCCGGTGGCTTCCTAATATCGGAAGGGAGAACGTTCCAGACGGTGGCAGAAACGTATCTGAAAGCGCACGATGCTCTAACCGTCTTTGTTCGATGGCCAGCCAAAAGCCGCTGCGAGGTTGACCGGATTTCGTGTGATGATTTATGCTCCTTGATGTGATAGATTGTGCTCCTTATATTGCCCCGAGATACTCCTTAGGGCCATCCAAGATCACTTTCCCTAGAGGTGATCACTGCTATGGTGGTCCCCCACAACTATTGTGAGAGGAGCTACAGCCGGGCCCATTGGTAACTACTTTGCTACCGTTACGTTTCGACCGACCTGGCTCGCCGCTTTGGGCCGGTTTGTGTGCAGGCGCGGCTCCTCCGTCCTCGGTGTGGACGACCGTGATCAGCAACAGCAGTGTGGCGCTGAGCTGGACTCCGCCCCTGCACGCCGTGCCCACCTCCTACAGCGTGCACATCAACACGCTGCCCTACGGCGATAAAAAGTGTTTCTCGGTTGATGTGGAGCAAACGCGGTATGTTTTTACCGGGCTCGCGTCTGATGCTGTCTACAGCGTCGGAGTGAGCGCCTTCTGCGGCACACAGCAGAGCGAGACCGTCAACCTGCAGATCAAAACAGGTGCGTTCTTCAGGCGGGGTTAATCAAACCTGTCCACTTTGCTGTAACACAACGGATGTAGTGGTCTGCGACGTTAACAAACAATTTCAGAAATTGCTCAATTTATAACAAGTGTTGCCAATTAAGTTTCTAAAGAAGCGTCTGCCCTCATATTAGGCATTGGTCTTGGCTGCTGCCTTGCCGCTTTTGTATGGTTTCCCGCACCTTTGAATCATTATGGAAACTGCGTGTGTTCCAAACTTCGGTATTTAATGATTTTATGTACAGTCCTGTACCTGTTACAGGATAGGTTATTTCTTTCCTGTCATTGAAAGGAGCGCACTTGTCCATTTCAAATTACTCCGTAACGTGACTCATTTGCACTGCTGAACAATCCAAGGTGTTCCTCATCTGGGAACCAACGGTGAGAGGTAGATCTGTCATCCTGGGCTCTTGAGGTTTTGGGTGCCGTGGAGATTCATCACTGTTCACCGTGCGCCTCATGGTGCCTTCACACTCTCTTTTTGACCTCATTCAGACGTGTGTTCCTTGACCGTGGACAAAGGCAGCTGCCACGCATTCAAGATGAGATGGTTTTTCTATGCCCACTTCCAAGTGTGTGCCCGTTTCTGGTATGGGGGCTGTGGAGGAAACGGCAACAACTTCATGAGCCGTGAGGAGTGTGAGATGACCTGTAAGACCAGAGGTAAGGGTCCACGAGAGCCATTGTATGGTCAAAGAGCACAGCGGAGCGCACAACACTTAGCATGTTAGTCACGATCCAAAATAAGCAAAACAATTTCTCAACGTTTTAATTGCGTGGAAATTATGGCCACGGAAACTCCTGCAAGCCAAGGTGAAAACGTATTGAGTGGGGTTGTGCAGCATGGGTGTAATTGGGCTTGATACTGTGACTTGGGTCCTGACTATATTCCAATCCGTTGCTGATCTGATCTAATGGATCTGAACCATTGTGTATACTTAAAACAGATGAAGGGTATGCGGAAATTGGGCCTTAGGGACACTTTCAGTATTTTGTGGCTCTGGTGGTCTGTGTAGGCCTGTAGCTATTATATACATGTATCTGTTGGAAGTTCATGAATGTAATTACTCTCATCGAGAACGAACCATGCTTATAATACTCTTTGGTTCTATTCGGTAAAGTCACGTAGGTAAAAAATAAAACAACAAAAATCACGACGTTTCGGCCACAACACAAGCGGCCTTCATCAGGTGAAGGGATCAGGCTGTCTCCCCTTCACCTGATGAAGGCCGCTTGTGTTGTGGCCGAAACGTCGTGATTTTTGTTGTTTATTTTTTACCTACGTGACTTTACCGAATAGAACCAAAGAGTATGGATCCTTGCAGTCACGAAAGCTTTAAATATACCATGCTTATAATGTTTTTTTTTATAACCGTATTGTAATTATACCAGAAATGTCGTAGCGTATTTGAGTGATTGCTATTAAACAAATTGTTTTATTTCTGTTTGTCTTTTAGGCAGTTCTGAGATGACCTTACCTGTGGGTGACATCACACAGCATGTGAATGTGAAAAGCCTGTCGTGAGTGGTGCTCTGGGAAAGGAGACTCGCATTGAAGAAGTGGTGCTAAACTAACAGAAAACCATCTTTCATACACATTCATTATATCGTTTAAGTATATTGTACTCCAATGTTGATCGTATAAACATTCAAATAATGTATATTGATGTCACCACAGTTTGCATCCCATTAGGCAGAAAAAAACAGAAATATAATATCTATTCTCTTTGGTTCTTTCGGTAAAGTCACCTAGGTATAAAATGAATAAATAAAATAAATCACAGTTATTTTATTTTCTTATTTTCTACCTGTGTGACTTTACCGAAAGAACCAAAGAGTATGGATTCCTGCAGTCACAAAAGCTTCAAATCAAGATAATATCTATTTTTGTTACCGATAACGATCTGAATTCCTTCATCGCTTGCACCCAACTTTTGCAACTCACAAGTAAGTACCGTACTCACTGCATATTCCGCGCCATGGTACACTCACTTTCACCTGCCTCTCCCCTCTCTACTCCCAAAGCCGTGGCGACTACTTCGGTAACCTAGGCCTCCTCAGCCAGTGTACTTACACCGTGGTGGCGAGATGTTAACTGCCTCGCCTGGTATACAGGAGGTCGTGGATCAGATCCCGACCCTGATGCCTGCTGTATATTTGCAGTTTGCACCTCTGTCTCTCTCCCAGTAGAGCGTGGATTTTTCTCCGGGTCCGGTTTTTCCCTTCACATTTAGAATGAACAAGCGTTTAGAGTATTTAGCTGCTATAAATTTCCACGTGACAAGCCACTTCGTTGAGCTATCATTTGTGGCCAGGGCATTTTTGAAAAAAGAGCAATGTAGCTCAGTGTGCCTTACCTGGTAAAATAAAAAATAGTTTAGTTTACGAGCTCCCTGTCCGAGTATGGCGCTAAACACTTACCTGCAGCACGCTTTGCCACGTGTTTGGACACCGTTCTCAGTCAGGGCGAGTGCAGCAAAGTACAACGTTGTGTCAGGCGTCCCTCGCGTAACGCGTTTGCTCCTACCCCCTCGCCAGAGCGCGAATTCACAGTTACGTGATTAATATTTAAGGGACAAACTTCACGCTTACGCTTTGCGTTTTACAGTCACAAATGTAAATTAAAACATTTAAAATTTTTTTTTTATAATGAAAATTCCAAGTCAAAAAATAATATTTCGCAGGTTAACCAACTAAAATCTTATGGCGTAGACATTTTATATCTGAGTAGAAGCAGCCCACGGAAGCGTTCAAAAAGCCCTGAAGTTACTCCTTATTAAGTAATCTTTGTAAGTATTAATCTTTTGAATCTTCATCATTAGACCTCCTTTGCCAGTACCAAAATATAATAATAGGGTTTATCCCCTTTTTTTCTGGTAACAAAACTGAACCCTTTTTACAAGGATTCATGTCTGCATTAACCACAATACCTGCAGTCAAAATGCAAACAAAAAAACATACTAGGATAATATATGCATTGTCCTTGATACTGATTGGTGTGCACCAAGGGACGGCGTACAAAAGGCCTTTTGGCGTCATCTGGTCGAGCACCAATTGGGTCGAGGCTCAAAAAAAGCCCTGTCCTGCTGCTGAGGGTTCCTATATGTTTAGGATGAGATGTGATGTAACGCGAGTCGCTTATTGTATGTTCGTAAAGCGCTCTGAGATGCCCCGGTGTGAAGGAGCGTGCTCTGTAAAAAAAACAAATCGCGACACATATCAGACATCACATATACACACCACACAAACACACACAACTTACAAACCCACACACGCAGACAAACCGCTTTACACCAGTCACAAGCACACAAAAACTTACAGCTCTTTCTTGCCAATGCACGGTGCTCGTCATGCGGTCTTGGGGGCGAGTGCTCGTTCTCTGGCATCTTAAATCTAGAAGGTAAGATGCGACGCGAGCTGAAGGATATACGGTGCCAAGGCGTGAGTGGAAACAAGATGGGGTTACGTCTTCGAGGCTAGGTGACGCTGGACGGTGCAAATGTGTGGCCGCCTCGGTGAAAAAAAACTGATGCCTCCCATAGTCAACTGACAACCCGTCCATGCCTCTGTTCAAGTCCATGCTCAGGAGCCTTTCTTGATTTATGACAAACTGTATTCCCATATATTGTCTTATATGCTGCTCATACTACATTGCAGCCTCTCCTTATCCTGGTCAAATACCCCCCTTATTATTATGGGGGTTTCCCAACCTTTGCATTCTTTCCAGTGTACTGCTCCGATAAAACGTCTTGAGAGCAAATCGACCAAATCACCCTGAATATGACCTTTTCAGATCTCGGAACCCGATTGGTACTTGGATGGGAAACTGCCTGCGAATACGAGGTGTTATATGCGTTTTACTTAAAAGTGGCCAGGAGACGACAGTGCAGTCCTGTATGACCATGCCTTCTGTGCGGGTCATAGATGATTATCATCCACGGATATGTGTGGGTTTTCTCCAGGTGCTCTGGTTTTTCCCTCACATGCTGCATATAATCCCACTCGTTAAGAGAATTGATGAATGTAAAACTCTTCCTGAATAAAGATTAGAGGCTTAATGAGGCTTTCCTGGGAAAATAAAGGGAAAAAAATATTATATAAGGGCTAGCTTCAGTCTCGCATGAGAAAACCGGGCATACTTAAAGGAAAAGCCCCAATGCCAGCACGTGTTATAACTTATATTATCATGAAGCCTGTTTAGCAGGAAAGCCTCATTAAGTGTCAGCATTTATTTAGGAAGGAGGCGAAGTTATGTTTAATCCCATTGAGTAATTTGCAGGTACATTTTCAGTCTTTGGATATTTGCCCAATACCAGATAGATTATATGGGTTTTTTGCTATGGAAGGGAACTAACTGGAGACCCTGGAGCAAGCCCCATGCAGACCAGGGGGGAACATACAACCTCCACATAGAAAGGTGCCGGAGTTGGGAATCAAACCCAGGCGCTTGTTGATGTTAGGCACACGTGCCACCACCGTGCCATCCTGCCACATATCACACTTGAGACAAGAGGCCAGTGAACCCTTTTGACTGTGCAAGTGTTTCTGCTTTAGCAACATTTAGTCATTATTAAATTAATAAATACAATTGAATAAATATGCACGCAAGTATGTCTCGTCTGAATATGCATCTTATGGTGTTCCAGTTAAAACCGCATTTTTTCTCCTTCCTCTGCACCTCCGATTAGCACGGTTGGCTATGTACGGTGGTAAAGAAGTTCTACAAACATGTCGTAGGTCTCTTCTTCTACTTTGTGTGGGCGGGCGGGCGGCATGCGTTGCGCACACACTCAGTCGGAGACGAGGTAGTCGCAGGAGGCACCGTCCTTCCCTTTTATTGTTGTGTTCACAACTCCGGCCCCCTCTCTCACGACCACGCTGCCGTACGACCCGGCCCAAACACGACCCCGTCCCCGTTGCACTGACGGCGTCGACCGAGACAGCCAACTACTGTTCGGCCGCGCAATGATCGGGCGAAGGCGGCAGTGATGAAGGCGGGAACGACGACAGTGACGACGAGACGAATCCAATCCCAGAACCGGCAGCCCGGAGCTCTCGCCGATGCAACTCTCGTGAAATAATGGGACCTCTGCCCAACTGAACAATGTGCTTGTCAGGAGAAACAAACGATGGATCATCTCCTAAGATACCTTGCAGCACCACAATGCACTCCTCAAGATTTGGCAATGCCAACACCAGAAGCGGTGGCCTGTGCAGAATATTGGTTACAGATTTTATAGGTTGGACAGGAGACACGACGAAGAAAAAGAAGAGAAGAATAAGAAAGGCTGGCAAACACTTTCATTATATACGTCTGAATATTCACAATCCATGGTGTTGCAAATGACATCTTATTTGCAACACATCGTTTCTAAGTGTCATATACTATGCAGCTGTTCTCTTTGGTTCTATTCGGTAAAGTCACGTCGGTAAAAAATAAAATAACAAAAATCACGACGTTTCGGCCACAACACAAGTGGCCTTCATCAGGTGAAGGGACCGGACTGTCCAGAGGACAGCGTTGGAGTGAAGACAGCCAAGCCCAGGTCGCGTCCTTTAAGCTGTGTGGGAGGAAACAAAAAACGCCTTGACAAAGGAATTAGCATAACATGATGTACTGGACCGGCACGGTGGGGGTGGGGGGGAGTTTACATAATGTTGGTGTGAAGGGACATAAGCTGCTGTGAAAGTTTGCGATACCACTACTTGAAAAAATATACTGTACCATTGAAAATTAGTATAATGTTTGGTTTGATTTAGAACCTCTTTCCAATGATTGCTAATTTGAAACCATCCTCTCGGTTGAAATTGTGTCTGTGTTTGTAAATCTGAATTGCCTCGTGGACAAATCTCTGATAAAAACCCGTGGGTTTGCAGAGAACCTTGGTATCGGAGAAAACTATATCGTGATCACTCACAGCGTTGTAACAGTGATCAGCTACGGCAGAAGAATTCGTTCTGCCGTGTTTCAAATCTGATTTGTGCTCGCGAATTCGGTCAGAGACATGTCGTTTCGTCTCCCCGATATAGCAGTCACCACAGGTGCAGCTCAATTTGTAAACCCCGGGGTACTGTAAGTCAGGAACGACATCCTTCACGGATGGGATCAGGTCACGGATTTTGTGTACTGTATTGAACCGCACCCCCCAGAAAGGGCAGCTGTTGGCATTTCACTCTGTCAAGAGTGCATTATCCATAAATCACAGTAATGTCTGATAAATGGATTTGAAGATTTATATTCGCTTTCGAAGAAATCCATGTATATTGCTCACATTCCAAAGCCTAACATTCGGAACGAACATTTCTGTAATTTGGAACAGTGTTTAAGAGACAAATAAAACCCTATGATGGACACTCTTGGGAGTCAGGGTTTTGCTAGACAGGGGCTCTTGGATTGTTTATCCGGTCCACATAGACCGTAGTTCTTAGCCTGGGGTGCAGCACCCCCTGGGGGTGCGAGATGCCCTTCCTGTGGGTGCGAGATGCCCTTTCTGGGGGTGTGAGATGCCCTTCCTGGGGGTGCGATATGCCCTCTCTGGGGGTGTGAGATGCCGTTTCTGGGGGTGCGAGATACCCTTCCTGGGGGTGTGAGATGCCCTTTCTGGAGGTGCGAGATGCTCTTTCTGGGGGTGCGAGATGCCCTTTCTGGGGGTGCGAGGTGCCCTTTCTGTGGGTGTGAGATGCCCTTCCTGGGGGTGTGAGATGCCCTTCCTGGGGGTGTGAGATGCCCTTCCTGGGGGTGTGAGATGCCCTTTATGGGGGTGCGACATGTCCTTTCTGGGGGTGCGAGATGTCCTTTCTGGGGGTGTGAGATGCCCTTTTTGGAGGTGCGAGATGCCCTTTCTGGAGGTGCGAGATGCCCTTCCTGGGGGTGCGAGATGCCCTTCCTGAGGGTGTGAGATGCCCTTTCTGGAGGTGTGAGATGTCCTTTCTGGAGGTGCGAGATGCCCTTTCAGGGGGTGCGAGACGCCCTTTCTGGAGGTGCGAGATACCCTTCCTGGGGGTGTGAGATGCCCTTTCTGGGGGTGTGAGATGCCCTTTCTGGAGGTGCGAGATGCTCTTTCTGGGGGTGCGAGATGCCCTTTCTGGGGGTGTGAGATGTCCTTTCTGGGGGTGCGAGATTCCCTTTCTGGGGGTGCGAGATGCCCTTCCTGGGGGTGTGAGATGTCCTTTCTGGGGGTGCGAGATGCCCTTTCTGGGGGTGTGAGATGCCCTTTCTGGAGGTGCGAGATGCCCTTTCTGTGGGTGCGAGATGCCCTTTCTGGGGGTGTGAGATGCCCTTTCTGGGGGTGTGAGATGCCCTTTCTGGGGGTGCGAGATGCCCTTTCTGTGGGTGCGAGATGCCCTTTATGGGGGTGCGAAATGCCCTTTATGGGGGTGCGAGACATGGCCAGTTTTTTTTAGAAGGTAAACAATCGAAAGCACAAATTAAGCACGGGCACAACTACTTTGTTTAATCAAACCTACGTATTTATGAACGTTATACAACTGACCTAGACCATCATCCAGTCTTTATTTTACTCGCCTTTTGCCCGTCCAAGGACGGGTGTATTGCAGTAAATCTGAAACTTGCAAGCAAAAGCAGACCACGACGTGATATATTCATTGCATCCAGTGGTTTGCGATTTGTAAGGCCGCGGTGACAGACTTATTTAATTTGAAGGTTATAATCCCTTGTTCATCATTACTTCGATGTCTCAACAATAGCGTTACGGAGATCGCGTGACGTGGGGGTTCTGCCTTTGTAGTGAGGGTTGTAAGTTGACACCGAGGAGGGGGGAGGAGGCGCCTCGCCCCCCCATGTGAAGTGACGTCACCCGCTAATTATTAATGGAGGTGTGTGTCCATTTGGAGGACGTCACATTATAATGATTACCATTAATGAGGGGGGCTGTTCGATCTGGTGTGACGTCACCTGCTCATGATTATTAATGAGGGGGAAGTCAATGTGGAGGACGTAACTTGTTAATGATTATTAATGAGGCGGGCTGGTCGACGTGGAGTGACGTCACGTGCGTTACACACTGACATTCTTGGGTAAATATCGTAGTAAAGGGGCCAATATCCCCCTCAATAAAGTGCACATTACAACGGAACGGGAACAGTACAGGGGGCATACAGCAAGCAAGGAACGAAAAGCGAAACCCGTTACAACCTCAGCATGTCACGCCCTCACAGATCCAGGGGGATCGGCAACGAAAATAACAAGAAGGGCCATATATATGTTTTTCTTTCCGAAATCGGTAAACAAAAAGAAGACCCTCGCATATTGCAAGAGGCGCAATGCACTGCGGTGAAAACGAGACATGCGGTCCTTGATAAATGACGTCACGAAGCAGCACTCCTTAAAGAGCCACCGCATGTGGCTCTGGAACCGCAGATTGGACCCAGATCAGCCACAGGCCTCCCAATCGTCGATTGCCCCGATTACTTTAACCTTTACAACGATAGCAGCCGACGTCGAACCCACGATTGTTGCACTCTCCACTTGTATCCGGCAGGGAATGCTCTTGCCCCATCCATTGCTCTTGAGGAGTCGGTGCTACGATTCTGGTTCGGTGAGTTTGAGTCAAAATTCACGACCACGGTGCGCCACGAAAAAATAATTCACTGAAAGGTGACGGGACCCAAGATGGGGTGGTGGCCCAACGTAAGGTTTTTTTTCTGTTAATAACAATATATAGATGAAACAGCAACAATTATCATTTAACTGCTTTCAAAAACCTTAAACCAAGCGGCTAATTTAAACAATATATGTTGTGTAAACATAAAAATCGCCCCTTTGAATCGATTCTATCTGAATAGATTTTTTTTTAAATAGAAATTATTGTGGCGTCCAGTTTGCAGAGGGGCAGCCCTGGAGATTGCGACATGAGATGAGCCCTGTGTAGGAGAGTGAGAAGACAGATGTGCGAGTGTTGGATTTGATGGCGATCACTTTGGGAGGGCCTTCATTCAGCAGCGGATCGACCAATGCTGACGAACCAATGCGATTTGGAGGGCATTGTTAATATGCGTTGACGATGTCATTTTGGTCCGATAAAATAATATACGATTCCAAACGACCGTTTGTATTCGCTGTTAAATGCTCGCGTGATGCTATCGGCATGACTGAGAGCTGGGACACCCAAATACTGCTTATGGTAGTGCATAGGCATACAACGAGTAATCTATTTCCGATTTATGCAAAAGATTGCAGGTGGCATGAAGGATAATAAAGCACACGAAGCTGCAAAAGACATATACAATTGTGTGTACCATTGTGAGATTGATTGTGAGTCTGTGGTTGTAAGGCTCCACTTTATCATTACAATGTTGCGTTTCATTACCCAGGAAATCATCACTGAGGCTCAGGATTTATTTTAGGAGGGTCCTGCCAAGTTGTAGCAGTTCAGAGTCGATGTTGCTCACGACATTTGAGTGATTGGCAGGTCATTGTTCAGCATTGAGGTGTTTGGCAACACCTAGTACATTTGTACGTTTTAATATCTGCAATAGAGTACTGCGTATGTGTGATTGTGAGTCGGTGTCAGACTGACCCCTCCCTTGTGAGTCGGTGTGAAATAAACCTCTCCCATGTGAGTCGGTGTGAGTCTGACCTCTCCCATGCGAGTCGGTGAGTATGATCCCTCCCATGTGAGTCGGTGTGAAATTTAACTCGCATATGAGTCAGTGTGAGTCTTACCACTCCCATGCGAGTCGGTGCGAGTCTGATCGCTCCCATCTGAGTTGGTGTGCGACTGAACTCCCATGTGAGTCGGTGTGAGTGACCCCTCCCATGCGAGTCGATGTGAGTCTGACTTCTCATGCGAGTCGGTGTGAGACTGATCCCTCCCATGTGAGTCGGTGTGAGATTGACCTCCCATGTGAGTCGGTGTGAGTCTGACCTCTCCCTTGTGAGTCGGTGTGAGTCTCAACTCCCATGTGAATCGGTGTGAGTCGGTGTTAGTCTGACCTCTCCCATGCGAGTCGGTGTGAGCCTGACCCTCTCCCATGCGAGTCGGTGTGGATGGGGATCTGTCCCATGTGAGTCCGTATGAGTCGGTGCGAGACTCAACTTCCATGCGAGTCGGTGTCAGCCCGACCCCTCCCATGCGAGTCGCTGCGAGTCGGCGCGCGTGCGCTCGGCTCCGCCCAGACCGGGGGGGGGGGGTCCCGCTGAGTGGGGCTGGCCCCCACCCCCACCGTGGCTATTTCAGCGCTGCCCGCCCAGCGCGCCTCGCATCATCCACGTGTCTGAGGAGCATCCCCCGCAGCATCACCCTCCTCCTACTCAGCATCACCCTCCTCCTACTCGGCATCACCCTCCTCCTACTCGGCATCACCCTCCTCCTACTCGGCATCACCCTCCTCATCCTCCTACTCGGCATCACCCTCCTCATCCTCCTACTCGGCATCACCCTCCTCATCCTCCTACTCAGCATCATCCTAACTCAGCATCCATCTCTCCGTCGTCGTCGGCGTGCGGCGCGGTAAGACGTGCATGGGTGCCGTGACCGTCTGCTGTGGGTGTTGCTGCTGCTGTTGTTGTTGTTTTTGTGCCCTTGTTACGCCGCTGTTTTTATTGCTCTTCTTGAACGCTGTTGTGCTGTTGTTCATTTATGCCGGTGTTATCGTGTTGTACTGTTGTTTTATACCTCTGCGCTGGTATGCTGTTGTTATCGTATTGTGCTGTTGTTTGTATTCCTGTTTTTTTAATGCTGCTGTGCTATTTGTTTTGAATGCTGTTATCTTGCTGTGCTGTTGTTATATGCTGTTCCGTTATGCTGTGGTTATTGTGTTATGCTGTTGTGTTGCTCTGTTGTTTCGCGCTGTTATGCTGCTGTTGCGCTAGTTTAAGTGGGCGTATGATAGCATCACACATTCCAGCATCGCACATCAAACAGTCAGCTCGAGCGCAAAGCGTACAAAGATACACAACGACAAAGATCCCCCCGTGTAGCCTTTGACAGACTTGGGGCACAGCACACTGAGAGGCACAGTCTTACACAAGGCTCTCGATGCACAGAAGAATAATGAACACACAAAAGTTGCACAACACGCGAGCAAGATAGCATGGAGAGCCGCACACAACAAAACGCAACCCTTACAGCGACAGTTGCAGTGCACACAGCACATTGCACGCAGCACAGTATATAATGCAGTACACATGACCGTTGGTGGCCCATGGCCAATAGTGAAAATTCCACATTCATATGGCGGGGCCAGTGGCCCCGTATGAACAGACGCTGTTGAATTTAAACATTGCAATACAGCCAAGCAAAATATGAAAAAACCCCACTAATTAATTGTTTGAAAACATCTTCGTATCTAGAGGAGCTACAGAGCTTGGCCAATGTTTGGCGCTGGCTCATCGCCTGCCTTTGCTGTCTTCCTGCTCGTCCGTGGTACCTGAGCGATTCTAAATTCGATTATAAGCAATGTATCGATAGTTCAATGTCAATGTACAATTTTATTGAGAGACTGTGCTTTGTCTTGGTGTGGTCTGGGGCTGTATTTGCTGTTTTTTTACTGCCTTTTTCAAGCTGTGGAATAGATTTTTTATGCGATTTGAACTTGTATACGTTTGTTTATTTATTTAAGGGGTGCCGTGGTGGCGAGATGTTAACTACCTCGCCGGATATGCAGGAGGTCGTGGGTTCGACCCCGACCCTGACGCCCCTATATTTGGAGTTTGCATGTCTCTCTCTCTCTCCCCCCGTGGTCGCGTGGATTTTTTTCTCCGGGTCCTCCGGCTTTTCCCTCCACATTTAGAAACATGTTTTTAGATAATTTTGCTGCTATTAATTTCCACACGATAAGCCACTTCGTTGATCTATCATTTGTGGACAGGTCGCTTCTGAAAAATAAGCGAATAGCTCTGCGGGCTTAACTTGATAAGATTAAATAAAAACATTTTGTATATTTGTAAAGTGATTTGTTTACCGTTCCTCTTCTTTGCACTCCTATCGTGTTTTTGTATTGTGTGTTGTTGTAACTTTGTGGTTTGCCCCGACTAGACATATATGAAAAAAAATCTTTATAGCTCATCGGATTCCTCCAGTCTAAATATTCTGATTCCGATTGGTGGACGGCGCTGTGTTCGTTTTATACATTGCAGTGTTTTAACAAAAATACGATGCACTCCCACCCAGCGCAGCATAGTACTGCACAGCCCAACACTGATAGTGTGCACCACACTCACAGCTCGCGCCGGCGCTTAGCAGGTCCCTGCCGTGAGCCCTGCCCCACCAAAATACATCTTAAACGAAACTATGTTTCACTTTGTCCAGGTAAGGCCCACTGAGCTATGTAGATCGCGTTTTCAGAAGCGAGCTGGCCACAAATGATAGCCCAACGAAGTGGCTTATCGTGTGGACATTTATAGCAGTCAGATGCTCTAAACCAGGGGTTGGGAACCAAACCAGCAAGAAGAGCCATTTTTTTTACAATTCGATAAAACAATCCAATATTTCCAATGCACGTGAATCAAGGCCGTAATTATAATATTCAAATATGCTCAAAATGTCCCCCCCAATATATCGCTATTAAAAAATTGCTATGCTATGTAAATGAAAACAACAATTTGCTAAACCTTGGCCACAATAGCTGGACTTGTCTTCATAACAGGTCCCTGCAGGGTGGGCTGGTAGGAACATTGGAATTTTGCGCAATTTTATTTTTACACCCCAACAGCACGAGATTTCACTTCGTTAAAGTATTGAAAGGGGACGGACGGACACATTAATCTATTGCAGGCTGGTACACTCAGTTTACAACTTCGTTCCTACCAGTATAAATCAATGCATATATTTCTGTTTATATGATTGTGGTTATGGTTGTACTTTATTAATCCCTAATCTCTGCCATTACATACAATGAATCAATGAATGTAAAAAAAGTAAAAACAGAGCAATTTAATACAATACACTGTTAGACATTATTGTAAAAAAAAAATGAAAAGTCCATCCCATGTGTTCGTGAATTTTTTAAATATTTTAGGCAGGAAATTAGTTTTCAAATTTAGATATTTTTTTGGATTGGGACCCCAGACACCCTGGAAGATTTGCCCCCCCCCCCCCCCCCCCCCCAATGTTGACTCCATGGCTACGGCCTTGACGTGAATACGAGACTGGTCCTTGATAAATAACGTGTCACGAAGCAGTCGTTAAAGAGCCGCGTGCTGCTCCGGAGCAGCAGGTTGCAGACCCCTGTTCTGAACGCACGATGTCGATTCGTGATGTGACGGGTACAATTAGAGGATCCTGAAGAAAATCCACGTGACCACGGGGAGGGTCTTTCAAACTCCAAATATACAGGCGTCAGGGTCGGGATCGAACTCTCGACCTCCTGTATACCAAGCGAGGTAGTTAACATCTCGTCATTCTCCTGAGTGCTAGGCCACTGTTGTTACGGTGTCGCCCACCCCCAAACAGCAGCAGCAGCATCAGCTCGACTGCCCCCATCTCCATCCGAGAGGAGCTGGAGCCACGCCTAACCCATCCGCAGCGCGGACAGGAAAGGTTGGCGCGTGCATCTGGAGCGCACAGTGAGAGGCGCCATGCTGCCGCATTCCTACGATTAGGACGAAACCTTAACCCCGAGTGCCGCAAACCACGGGGGCTCTCTGTGTCCCATCACCATCACCAGCTGCTGCTGCTGCAGGCCGTCACACCGCGCGTCCCGCATGCTCGCCGCTCACACGTACCCCGACTTTGTTGTTTAGTTGATTATTTTGGCACAGGTAATCGAATTGATGTTCATAGAGCGCCTTCACTCGTATGTACGTATGTTGAACTTTTTTCGTACCGTGCGTAGCCAGCCATATCATTCCATTCTGACAGAATTCTGACAGAATGGAATGATGTAGTTGGCGGATGAATGCACGTTTTGATAGGGACCTGGTTACATCATACAAACCTGGTTATAGGAAAAAGAAAAAAACGATAATAACATGATCTAAAAACAATTGTATGTACTCAAGTTTTGAATGGAAAGGTCGTATGTCGTATATCAAAGTGGTACAATCAGAATAAACAATATAGCAAGCCGAGTAGAACACGTGCCATACAAAAAAATGTTGGGTGTAAAACAGCTCGGATGTCGGTGAGATAGTAAAAAAACTTTATTAATTAAAATTTCTAAAGCAGAGCGACCAATTGCACGTGGTGGTGGCATTTATGGTTGTGAGTTTATAGAGGGTGCTTTGGTGCCATCGGTGATTGCGTTTAAAATAACGATCAAAATTTATTATCAGGATAATGTTATCCTATAAAATATAAATATATAAAGGGCCTTAGCTCAAGGCCATTTACAGAGTTTAAAAGCGGTAAAAAATAGAGTGAATTAGATGGCAAGGGCAGTGCAAGGGCCGAGGAATGAGTGACCGTGAAAGAGGGCACGTGTGATGTCACGAAAAGGTTATCGGGGAGGGATGGGAAGGAGTGGAGGGGCGAGGGGATGGAAGAGGAAGGGAATGGGCGATGGAGAAGAGGTGAGGCTTAAAGAGAGGAACGGAAGGAGGTCAAGAAGGGGGACTGCTTAATCAGAATGAGAATCTTTATTTAGATTGGAGGAATCCTATGAGCTATAAAGCTCTTTCTTTAGTGTATAAGGGAAGATTATTCTTGTGGTAGGGTACAAGGAGGGATTAGAACCGAAGACAGGCTGGGCACAGGGAGAAGGGCAGAGAGAGAATATTGTGAACGAAGAGCACGAGGGGGGACATGAAGAGAGATGAGAGAGGCGAGATAAGGTGAGGAAAGTCCATGGAGCAAATGTCAAGACTCGTGTAAGGGTATATTCATGCCGTACTTGTTATTGCCCTGATTTATCTTTGCTTCATTGTTGTAATTTGTTGTTTAAAACATTGCCCTTCATCATTTTTGTCAAGTCCTAGCCTTTTGAATTGTCACCTGATGAAATAAATTAATCTTGAACTTGAAAACCTGGAGCAGTTTCTGAAGGCAGACGAGGATGAAAATGGTGGACGAAGAGGATGAGAGAAAGCAGGTTAGGTCGCTGTTGGGAAGCCGAACATGACAATGAACAGCATCATGCCGGTGTGCCTAAGGAATAACGTTCTTATTTATTTATTAGGTACTACCTGCTATGCCATGGATCAAAACACTGACATGAATTGAATTAAATTAAGCATAAGTGAAAAGTGCGCAAAGAAGCGTGGATATTGTCATACTTTGAATTGCATCGGAATGGAGGAAACCATGGACTAAGGGCCATGTGCAGGTTCATACATATTTGTCATCTCCATCACCTTCATCTACCCATGGTCTCTCCACTGCTGGATGAAGGTATCCTAATGCTAATCTCACCCCTCACAGTCTCGTGATGCCACAGTCCGTCCCACTTCAGCACACGAGCAGATCTTCTCATGCCATCGTCGTCAGCTTCTGGGCCTCCGTTGGCTGCCATTCTATCACCAGTCTCATACATCTATCATCACTTCTGATGTCTCCTTCCCAAGCTAACTTTTCTTAACAGTCGCATTTGTTCCGTGCCATGTGTCACTTGCTGTGTTCCTCGGTATAATTGCGTGCATCTTTGCACACTTTCCACCTTTTGCTTCACGTCATTGCCTAAGCATCGGTTTATTTCAGTTTATTTTGAAGTAACCTGTGAGCTAAGGCGTTCTTAAGTCGGGTTTCATTAATAACAATTACGCGCGCGTTTTCGTGACAGACATTACGCATAAGAGAAAAATAAATGATTAATACAAATGAATAAATAAAAAAACCGTAAGAAATCAGATAATTTCAAATGTGAAATTTATCTTTTAAAAGTTTTGAGTTAATTGAGGATTAAAAACGTGCAAGATTAGGAATAAAATGTGCCAGTGGTAAACACACCGTTTCCCAAGAAACACTAAATTCGTACATTACAGCAAGGAACGAATTTTTTTTTTAAAAACAGTCGCCATGTAAGCACATTGCTAAGTTTCTTCAAATAACCTAATTCAGCTTTCCGGATGTGCGTGTGATTTTTGTTGTTGTTGTTGTTGTTGTTGTTTTCATCATGGGTTTTCCAGGCAAGTAAAAAATAAACCCTCTTCAAAATGTAATCGGGGCCCAGCATCCCAATGGGTGACTCCTGAGCGGGGGGGGGGGGGGAGAAGAGTCTCGAGATTGTGAGTCTTCCCTGGATAAATAACGTAAATATGTGTCTATCCATCTTCAGTTGTCATGGCAATGTCACGTGTCGTTACGAAGGAGCGCAAGCCCCCCCGCCATCACATAGTAATTTGAAAAATCAGAGCAGCTTGGGCCCCTCTCACCCAACCCCGAGAGTCCCAACCCCCATCTCAGATCTATGCCTTGCCAGGCACGCAGTCTGGCTTTGTAGTTTCCTGTTTCTTTGCATAAGATCAAGAGCCAGTACAGTAGATGGAAGGCGACAGACGGATGAGGCCAAATAAAAAAAAAGATTGTGTAATCTTTGGATTTCTATTTTGTTTAAAGTTAATATTGCAATAGATGAGCTGTTTTGAGATCACATGGCCAATTCCTCAAAACATGTGACCACCCGCAGCTTAGTTATGCCATGGAGTGTTGTGTGCACTGCTCTGCTTCCCTTGGTTGTGTGTGTGAATAAGACTGTTTATCATATTATTTGGGTCTTTCGGTAAAGTCACGTAGATAGGTTCAAAGAAAAGAACAAAATGACAAAAAACTACGACGTTTCGATCGCAACACAAGCGGTCGTCATCATGTTATTTTCTTTGAACCGATCTACGTGACTTTACCGAAAGACCCAAAGAATATGAAATCCTGCAGCCACGAAAGCTTTCAGTTAACATTTAAGACTGCGTATCTTTTAGAAGTTTCGAATGTATGCAAATACGGTAATGTTTTTCGGTTAAACTCTCCTTTTTGTTTGTACCAAGTAGTACAAGTGCTCTGGCCAAATGCCAAGTATGTCATCATGACTCCAGCTGCGGCTATATCCAGTGCCAAAGCGAACAATTATTCGGAGTCAAGATTTCCAACGGGCACGGAGGGTGTTGAGATGCCGTGTCCAAAGGGACACTGTGGTGCCCAGGTGAGAGTATTGATATTTGGTGGGGTCTGGATGCTCGTTGTGGGGGTGGGGAGAGGTCAGGGGGTGAAACACGTGGGTGATGGGATGGCTCTGGGGGACAGGAAGAGACGGAGAGACATATATATTACACACGTGGGAAAGAATATTAACACGGTGATGGGTTTACATGAATATCATATTAATATCATGGAACATAAGTTTACCACCCTCACTGAGTATCAATATGTTTCAATCCCAGTCGCAAGAAGAAAAAAATACACTTTTGTCATAAGCAGTACAGTACAAGCTGCTCAGCCAATTGTATGTAAAGTTCGCCCAAATTTCTGGACTAACACTGGCCACATGTAAAGCAGTGCAGCCTGTTGCGTGGTTGAGACGATGAAGAAGGAACCAGGACGCTCCCCATACTTGGCCTGGCCGGTGGAGGAGACCAACTGGACACGGCAGTGCAGGCAAACGCAAGGACGCCATCGAAGGGCACCACAAAAGGGCCAGTGGGGCACACCGGGGAATGAAAGCTCGCCCCTTGAACCTTTATTGAAATGGAGAGGGGGTCTTGAAATGGAGGAGTGGCACTTTGGAGTACCAAAACAGAAAATGTGAAGTGTTAGGGGGGTACGTTTGGATGTAGAGTCCTGGGTCAGTCGGAGGATGAGTGGCTAGTTGGCTCGTGTAATGTGCTCGCAACAGTTTTGTGTCTCCAAGACATTGCCAAGTGGGGCCTTGACTGTTCGGCTGGTTTCCATTTCGGGATGTAGGAATATTCGGGTGTAGAATTGCCACACAATTGCCAAAACGTGTGCAAATCCCATTTAACCCAATCAGAAGTACAGTGAGGGAAAACAAGTATTTGATCCCCTGCTGATTATGTACGTTTGCCCACTGACAAAGAAATGATCAGTCGATAATTTTAATGGTAGGTTTATTTGAACAGTGAGAGACAGAATAACAAAAAAATCCAGAAAAACGCATGTCAAAAATGTTATAAATTGATTTTCATTTTAATGAGGGAAATAAGTATTTGACCCCCTCTCAATCAGAAAGATTTCTGGCTCCCAGGTGTCTTTTATACAGGTAAAGAGCTGATTAGGAGCACACTCTTAGGAGCACACTCTTAAAGGGAGTGCTCCTAATCTCTGCTTGTTACCTGTATAAAAGACACCTGTCCACAGACGTAATCAATCAGATTCCAAACTCTCCAGCATGGCCAAGACCAAAGAGCTCTCCAAGGATATCAGGGACAAGATTGTAGACCTACACAAGGCTGGAATGGGCTGCAAGACCATTGACAAGCAGCTTGGTGAGAAGGTGACAACAGTTGGTGCGATTATTCGCAAATGGAAGAAACACAAAATAATTGTCAATCTCCCTCGGCCTTGGGCTCCATGCAAGATCTCCCCTCGTGGAGTTGCAATGATCATGAGAACGGTGAGGAATCAGCCCAGAACTACACGGGAGGATCTTGTCA